CCTTCCTGTTTTATCTATGAAAGGCCATCTCTAAATGGCCTTCTGTAATAGTTTTCTTGGTCACTAAATTGAATTCGAACCAGACATTCGAAGTGTGCGATTCGTACTGACAACATCGGTTGTTGTGTTCCCGGCGATATTCTGCGGTATTTTTGGACTTGTGATTTTACTCGGAAGATTCGGACTTGTACTTTTTTCTTCTCAGAAATATACCAACTTTAAACTAGGGTGTAATTCACCCCGGCCGCAGCTCGGCTGATCGAGGTGTTTTATTTCTATTAATTCTCAAGCGAAATTCATATTCATTCCTCACATGTGGTGCCTCGGTTTATGAACGTTTTCTGTTCGAATGAAAAATACATTACAGTATTTCAGAAGAAATGTAAATCTTTAAAAGGATAAAATCTTCGAACTTCAAATTTCGAATAGGAAAATACAACGCTTTTTTCTATTTCATTACGTAATTACGAAACTGAAAACAAGGTAAGAAAACATGAAAAATGCCGAAATTCCGAATGAAATGTTTTTTTCTTTTGTTGCTGAAGACGAACGGCGTTTCATTAATCTGTTACCCTCTAAAATGAACAAGAGGTTCTCTAATTTTCACGTGTAACAAATGCAAGAAATTTTGAATTCAAGAAATAAATTTTTTAATAGAATTGGAGAGCCGAAACTCAAATTTAAGGAATTTACCGAAATTCTCGACGCAAATACAAAAAAAATTCACGAGGACTAATGCACCACAAGAAGCACTCAATCACTCGGTTACTGTTGATGACTGCAAAAGCACGAAATATCCTCAGCAATTAAAACACACGCAGAATGCGAGTCACAATACTTCCAAAACGTGACGAACGAACGTAAATAAAGACATTCTTCATCTTGACAATTCCGTCGAACCGCGATGACTTCTACACAAAAAGGTCTCGACGAAAGCCTTATTTCGACAAAAGGCAAAACTCAGGGACAACTGAAACTAATTTTATTCTTCTCAGTCAAAAAAAATAATAATAACGTAAAACCGTTCACTTTTAATTTTAACCCGTGACTCATTAAATTTTATCATCTCCAACCCGCATCTTCCGAACAGAACCTACGGTGACGGGGATTCAGACCAAGAAGTGGCACTCTGACTGGGTTCAACCACCGGAATATAAGATTGCAAATAAATAAATAAATAATTAATGTACTGTACTCACGTGATCCGTGTTGAGATTTCTCGAGTGGCCCTTGCCAACCCACGCCCAATAGGTTTCGTTTTGAAATGGAAGATGGACAACACCTGCGATAGGACGTCCGTTTCTTGCCACACAAACCATAGTCGTCACATAGTCCAGCAGATTTTCTAAATGCAAAAAGATTGTTTCCCTCAGAAGTCTGGCAAATTGCACACAAACCGTCATTGTAGTCCCAAGTAACATGATTTTTTCCAATTTCAGCTACTTTCGATTCAAAAATAAATTCAATGAATTTACTTTCATTTCGCCTCATTTTTTGCACAAAATAATGTGAGGAAGAGGAAACTCTGAACAGGTTTTCACTTCGAGAGGATTTCATAAAAAAAAAAAAAGGTCGCGTCTCAAAATTTTTACGAAGTCGTGAAACAGTAAAAGATACAGGGAAATCTGGAAAACTTTCTTTACATAACATTCCAAAAATACCCTCAAGTGATTATCAACAGTAACCGGCCCTTGCACTGATATTTTTGAATCGAAATAATTGCGTCGGTGATTTTTCAATAAATTTGAAACGGACCAGGCAAATACAGTGAACTGTAAATTCCTGATGCTCCCACGAGAAATCACGAGTTTGAATCGCCACATTTGAGTCGCATCGATTGACAAGTTCACGAACATTTGAAAAAAACCCCATATTGACCAAAAATGCCTCGCTTTCTAAACAAACCAAATAAAGTGGGTGAATATGGTGATTTTTTTCTATTTATGACCTCATTCTTGAATAATACGGTAGATAAGTTTTTCCTAAAATGCACATAAAATTCCCCTTGAATAACCCGAACTTGACTGAACTGAATTTAAATTCACCCAACATGAGTTACTTGGGAATATCGAAATTAAACTAAATAAAATGCGGTGGATATTAATTTTATAGGAAAAAATACACAGCGGATGTCGAACGTTTAGAAGAAAAAAACACGAAAACTTGACATAAAAACCAACAAGCACTAAATTCTCAACGGATACGACCCAAAGCGAGGTGAACAACATCTGAAGTTTTAAACTAACGCTCCAACGGATTCCCAGCACATGAGGTCAGCAAGTAACGGGGATTTCCACAAACGTTCCACTCAACGCTGACGAAGTAAGAATCCTCTATTCCACTTTCCCGCCGATTCCCCTGATGCGTATTCTTTCTCAGAATCCAACTTCGCCCACCGGGAAATTTCCAAACACGAAAGAAATAAAAAAATCTTCATCGCCTTCACCCGGATCTTGGACCAAAAAAAATTGACCAAGCAAAATTTTGAGGAGTGAAAAATAGACTGAAAAATTCAGCAAACACGAATATTTGGAGAGTAGCTGGTAGTTACAGTTACACACTTTCAGTGCTAGAAAACGCGTTTGAACCATGATTGCCTTTACATTTCATTGAAGCCTCGAAATTATAGCGAATCTTAAAATAGGTGTATGAGAAAAATACAAAGTTTACAGAACTATATTCAAGAATATTTTCCGAGGCGATGCGAAGCTCATCAACGAAATCGAAGATTATATTTGTATATTTTTACGTCATCTTGGAACTTCGCTTACTTCTGATCGACGATTTATTGAATAAAGAGGATCCATTTCACGATAAAAACTTCCGATATGAAAAAACCAATATTAGCACAGGTTCTGCGCAAAACTGCTTCAATATCATCGGCAAATAAACCATTACCGATATTTACTTACACACAACGACAGAGTTTTAATCCCCAACACTCATTCAGGCGCAAATGACTCAACCTTATCAGTTTCTTAAGAAAGAAAGAAAAAATTATGCATTCTGTCAAACACTGAGCAAGTCATATCAACACCTAAAACTGGATCCGAAACGGTACTTTTCTATGATACTGTACATATCATCCTTCAATTTTTACAATTCATGTAAGCTGCAACAATGGTAACCCAACTTTACCTTATACGATTAGGACAACCGAACTAAACCAACCTAAAACTGAAACAATGAAATTCTTGGTTTTCTTTTTCACTAAAACGCAAGTCCCGACCACAGCTCGTCTAACTTCTTAAAATCGCCATTCCCATGACAAACATACTATCTTTCTTTGAACTTTTTATTTATGAATTTTCCAATCATCTACAGTATATAGAATCTATCGTTAGTATCGTACCTGATCCAACCAAACAATCGCAATCCAAATCGGGGTTTACAACTTCCCCGATTTGCATCACTATCGTACTCAAATTTTGGCTCGACACTTCTTGTCACTGTTTGGGCTTCTTCGAAAAAAAATTTACACCCCAAATAAACTAACCTCCACACCTATGATGTGAGTTGACAGTTGATCAATAACGCAGAAGCACTGCGTTGGCAACATCAAAAAGGAATTTTGAATTACACTGATGTAAAATACCAAAATGTGAAGCGAATAATTCCATTTTATTTTGACTGACACGATTTACGCCACTCTTCCGCAAATTCTTAAAATCAAATCTGACTCTATAGATTTTTATTCCCACTCACCCGTGTATTCCTTAGTAGCATCCAGCGGGTCAATCCAGACAGTCAACTCATCCAACGGCAAATCCTCGTCAGCCGGGATCCCAGCAATCACACCGGGCAAAAACGAGGTCCACGAGGACGAAGGTCCTCCTCGGTCATACGTGTTCACGTCGTGCTCCTCACTCACTACACTCATGCCCGGATACAGAGCCACTAGCGCAGAGTACATGGCGCGATGCGAGTTCAAGTCCCCGGAAGTCACGGGGTCGTCAATCCCTTCCCTCGTTTTTCCCTTGGACTTCTGACCCAGGTCGGCAAGCTTGCGCACTTTTCGCACTTCGTTGCCGCCGCGAACTGCGGCATCCACGCAAACGGCGAGGAGCGAGCGCAAAGACACGCGATTAGACTGATTCACTTCCGGACTAGAGGTTCGGAACACGGCGAGGTAGAGAAGGAGGAAGCAGAAGAAAAGGACGAGCACGCCGAGGGGGCGACATCTCAACGTGCCGCTCGAGTTCATTCTGCAACGCGAATAAAACGGGGCATTACCACCAAAGAACGAATTAAACTTGTGCCATGCCATTGCACATGCTTCCTGTGAAAAATAACGCCAGAGTTTCAATCAACATGCAGTACAGTACTGTAATTAATCCCGATTGGAAGTACTGCTCGTTACAGTCGAACCCGAGGGACAGGCAAAAGAAATCGAGTCGGGGAAACCGCTTTTTTCGCTGGAAATAAATATGAAGAATTACAGGAAACTGAATGGCGTGATTTTTCGGTCTTAAGCTGCAGAATAATTGAGTTGAAAAAATGCAATAATTGGGGGAATGATAGATATCTTGCCTTCAAGTTCATGAAGGCAAGATATCATTCGCCCAATTAGTCCATCAGTAACATTTGAAAAAATGTGTACTGCTTTTTTTCCCGCGTCAATACAATAGCCAAAAAACCTCCAGAAAATTCGAGCTATGGAGGTTTAGAGTTTTTTTTTTTGCTTTCGAGTTGGAGAGGTTTACACTGTAATGCATTGTTCCTAAGGGGATGTAGACAGATACTCAAAAAAATTGACATAGAGAGAGATATTAGACTCGGGGATGCTCGAGTTATTGAAGTTCAACTGTATCACAATTAGAAGCGGAATTATACTGTTATGCAATAACATTACTACAATTGATCGCCGGTTTACGGAATGAATGCTGTGAAAAGCATCTATTGATGTTTTCGATCGTGTTAACCATTGTTTTCCTTGTTTCCGAGTGATTCAGCTGTGTTTTTCTTCGCTTTGATTATAAAGCGGAACAACCTTAATGGCCCGCGACTTGCGAAACTTTTCGTTTTCCCTCTGATGACATACAATTAAAACTAGAGCTTTAAGCATTTCCAAATAATATAATATTTAAAACATAAAAAAACTTGCTGGAAATCAATTTGAAAGCATGAAGGTAAAAAAAATTGATGAAGAGTCATTCAAGTTGTTCAGTTTTGGAAACACAAAATGACTAGAAAGGCACTGTCAGACACAAGGAAAACTACAGTATGATCAAAACTATCAAAAACCCTAACGTACTGTGTACTGTAATGTCAGCCATATTTGTCACAGCAACTTTGGATTCTCTTTTCATTCAAAGATGATGATTCATTTTGCAAGTGAACGGGGTCCGAGATCCGAAGCAAACCCGATATTCATGTTACGCCAAGAGGCTTTCAACAAAATTTCAAAGAAAAGTAAAAAAATAATAAAATAAAACTATCATACGTTCTGAAAGCATGCAAGAATTACAAACATCCTCCTTTAATTTTCCACCGAAGTTCCTGCGGAGGCCAACGAACATAACGTTTCTCCCAGAGTTCCATCTATTTCATCGGCCAGCTTCTCCGCTTTCTTTAAAACTTCATCAATAGTTTCACTCGTCACAGCGGCTTCACCTAGTTTTTTGACACAAGTCACACCGTCCGCATTCACCGCAACCACAATTCGCGAATTACAACACGCATCTTCTTCAACGTTGGGATCAACGATATGATGACGCCCGGCGCAAAGGAAAGTTAAGATCACCGGGGCGCTGGAAGTGTCAAGTTTGCGACATTTCCTAGCGTCTGAATCCACAAGGAGAATAGGCGTGGAATCGGATTCTATTTCAAGTCCGACGTCGGGAAGCTCAACGTCGAACAACGCGGATTTCACGGCGAATCCCGCGGCGTCCAAGAGGTTCCCACCGTACGACAAAACCAGGACATCCACGTGCAAAAGCCAAAAATACGTGCCTTCCTTCAGGCACAAATCCGTGAAGTTCAGAACACCGGGGGCCGAGTACGCGAGATCCAAAACTGCGACTAAATTGTCACTCAAGGTCTCCCCGGCAGAGCCCAGGAATTTTCTGCCAGCAACGGGAGAAATCCGCGCGGAGAACACTACAGAACCGGATTTCTGATGTCGTAAATCGCATCGCCGAAGCTCAGCTTTCACAGCGGCAATGACTTCTGCTGTGCCGAGTTGGATTCGAGCTGAACCGTACGCCCCACGCACAACTCCGAGTTCCACGTGAACAGTTCGATAATCAGATGGGGAACGGCCGTCAATTCGAATGCCGTTTTGTAGACTGCCCACGATCATGGCCCGCTCTCCCCAACTGTAATCACGCTTTGATGACACTTCAGTGTACATCATGAACGTTAGTTTCCCGAGCGAAAACGCGATGAAATGTCAAGCACTGAACATACCCTAAATCTCCTGCGAAAAAAAAATTAAAGGGAATTAAAATGGGGATGCTTTCAAGGCGCAAAAAGAATTAACATGATACGGACGACATTCACAGTTTATTACCGACCAAATCAGTGTCATCTCAATGTGAAAAAAAGGCGGACTGCAGAACCAAATGACATGTCAAATTTTGGTGATTTAATATTCGAAACGAAATTCTTGGCAGAACATAAACGACCAGCAGACGTAGAAAAAAGAAGTTCACTTTATATATTTCTCCATGAATTTCCTGTGGAAATCCGAGCGAAGAGAATCATTGATGAAACGATTCGTCGGGTTATCCAGTTGTCCTCTAGCGCAATTCTTGAAAACGACGTCATCATCCCATCGTCGCCGAACCTGGGGAAAAAATATGACGATATAAATTACTTTTTGAATACTGCTGGCTGTCGAGCTTCGAGCACATGATTTAAGCCACACAACGTACCCTGAAATCTGCTTTTCCAGTGCCTGCGGCTAAAGCCATACGTTCTTGCAATAGCGGGTTACCGCTCAGAATGTTCTCCGTTCGGATTCGGCCTTCTTCCTGTTTCTTCTCGATTTCCTTAAATAAAATATATGGAAATTATAAATGTCATTGACCCTCGGAGTTTTACATGCACTACCTTTCTTGCAATGTCGTTTGCGCGCTCCTTTTTAATGCGTTGCAATTCAGCCATCAGTTCCGCCTCATCATCGGAATCAGCATCAGAATCCTCGTCGTCGTTTTCAATGGGATCGTCAGCGTCAACATCTTGAATGGGCAATTCCGTCCTTGGTTTCTTGCTAAACACGAGGGGCGAAATGGCTTGTGAAAAATAAATAAGCACACAACCAAGCTCCACCAATACTCACCTCGAGGGCTCAGTTCGCTCTTCAGTGGCCAAGGAACGCCGACTGGCAGATCTTTTCGTTTTACTCTCTCTTTCTTCCAAGTCCCTCCTGAAGTCCTTCGAACGCAATTCATCGACGGTTCCCTGTCCAGTTTCACTGAAAAAACAGCCTCACTTCGAAACTCATAATTCACTGACCGAAATTGAACTGCTTACCGGAATTTAAGCTTCGTATGTCCAGGAAGATCACGCGAAGAGTATTGCTTCGAAAGGGCACTGAGATCAGTCTCACCTTTGCCTGAACCGCCCCGGGCGGGATCAAAGGTCGGTCTCGCGGCAGTCGTCATTTCTTCGTAAAATCAATCAAGCCAGGTAACGGTCAACACAGTACGAATTTAAATTAAATATTTTTAAATAAATGCAGCGAAACGCGGTTTGGTTTCGAAAATCGAATCGCTCGATGCAAATATTGTAGCGGAGATTCCAGGTTCGTTTAAAATGGAATGTACGTAACCGGCGAGCGCAAGCAAACCGATGAACTCACTACGGGGAAATCACGTGTTTTCCTTTTTCTATTTATCGTTGTCCTTCACTTTCAATGCCGAGAGAATAACTCCGGACACGATTTGTCATTACCACTGCGAACGAGGGGTTTTCCAAGCAGAAACTCGTCAATTATACCGAACAATCAGTGCATCTCATGCAAGTCTTCACACACAGGTGTCGCTGCTGCGAAATAAGTCAACCATTAAAAAAAACTTCAATTTCCAGCAAGTTCAAACTTTATCTACGAAAAGCATCAGCAGATTCACTGGTCATCTCTTTCGAAAACAGAAATGAAAATTCCTTTCGCGAATCCAGCGTCATATATCATGCGTTCAGATACTGCTGTGCGTCATCCGACTGAACAACAGCAACAGCACCATCAGGTCTCGTCTTCGCCTCCCTTGTGTCTTTTTCCATCGTTTTCCTTCCGGTTTCCCGCGGGTTGATCTGTTATTTCCTGCACTTCTCCTGCGCCATGGCGAGGTGAAATCCCCATCTACATAAAAAGAGTAAACTTGACCGGGGAAAAGCGACAAAAATAAAAAATGTAGAAAGCCCCCAAAAAGTATATAAGCATTTCATTATAACCAATCCTTCTATACACGGTCAATTTTTTCTGTTACATATTGAATGACATATGGAAGTAAGAATAAGTAAAACAGTCTTTTCATAACGGAAGATGTAATTTCTTTTTTTATACTGTATAACTTCAAATATTGTATAATACTGTAGTACAGTATGCAATTTCTGTAATCTTCAACAGTGAGTTTATACTTATCCTGATGTGAAAATCGAATAAATTCCTTTCCATTCCCATACATGTTGAGATTAGGAATTGCAGTACTGTATTTGTATGCTGTACATGCAAAATAGCAAATTTTACTCAATAACATTTCCCAGAGATAGCCTGCTTTTCGACTTATTAATATTATACTGTATACGTCTGTATTTCTTACGCCATTCGAATATCATAAAAAAAATAAATTAGCCTATTATTGTCCTTACGAAGGTTAGTTGACGCGAAGAATCCTTGCAGTACGCGCGGCAAATGTCGTCAGCGAGCGTTTTGATCACAGGTGTACTTCTGGTGTCAATTTTAGAATGCGCTCTGTGCCTCCCGTTGACATAAACTTCGAAAGCATCTACAAGTATACGCATTGAACAAGTTTGAATTTACGATGAGAGCAATTTAACGAAAGTTAAACTATAACTCTACCTTTCCTACCGGCGAATCCTTCGATCAACGATCCAGGGCATTTCCGCGTGATTTCCGAGCGCAATTCGTTGTACAATTCCAAGTCATCCCTGTTTCCGGGTCTGAGAAAAAGGCATAACTTGTGATTCATATATAATTTCTTCAAATATTCACATTAATATTTAAAATGCTGGAGAAATTTTTCGTGGTGATGGACCAGCGCGCGAGGACGACGAGGTGCAAAATGTCCGAATACCAATTTATCTAGGTATTCATGCTAAAACTGTACTGTACATGACAAAAAAGGGAAAAAAAGTCTTGGTAATAAAAAAATTGAAACCACCGGAAATATTTCTTTGTAAGTTAAAAGTCAACCATCAGTTGAAACTGCCCCAAAATCAAAATACCGTATAGGTACTGATGATACTGCGCTTTCTGCTGGCCCATGCCCGCCTGACTTAATATTTTTTATATTTTGCATGCAAATCTAAAAAAAAAGGAAACTATTGATTTTACGCCGCCATCGGGTTTAAAAAACAAAATTTTAATTACCGTCGATCACATTCGGAAACGAAGGAAGTCTTTATATAAACCAGACGAAACGGTTAATTTTAAATACAGTACTGTGCAAGTACAGTATATTCTTTGGAAAGGAACATTTCCGACGGTTGAACGGCTCAATATGAAAGCCAAACGGTACACTAATAAAAAAAAAATTTTATTGGACTGGATTAGCAAGTTTAACGTCCGCATTCACATAAACGTGCCCGCATCGTTCTTTTGTCTCGACTAATCTGTTTTCATTTGTCTTAAAACCGAATAACCACGATCATGCGTGGAACCTTGAATCCGCACTAACTCCAAATTACGTCCTTACCAAACCTAAGGCAGTCTATTCGGCTGCATCCGCGGCACGAAGTCTCATTTTTCGTTCCGTCTACACTCCACAGATTTAAACAATAAAATAAATCGAAGGCACTTTACAACTTAAATGACGATACACGAAACATGTCGAATTCCCATGATGGAGTCCGGAGACACTCACGCGTATTCCACGATCACATGCAAAGTGGGATGGAGCAGCGAAGACAAAACGCTTCTTGCAGGTGACTCGGGGACCCGAGCAGGACCCGGAACAAAAAAGGTGTTGGGAACATTTCCTACGCTAGGCGGCCTAGATGGTAACGGTGATTCCGAAAGGTTTGAACTCCGTGGCGGCGGCCCACATCCGGGCCAGCCACCTGGTCCAGGTCCTCATGCCATATTCACCTGAGAACTAAATCACGAAATGTCATCATCATACTTTCACGATATCAGATATAACTCAAATAACCTTTTGCTGTGATTTGAAGCATACAAATAAGCGATAAGAACTAAGAGAGTAAAAATAAAAATAAAATTGGAAAAGTTCGAAGGGGAATTCCACGACTCAGGAATCCAAGTGTCTGCTGGATGAAACTCGTGGAGGTACGGTTATTTAGAAAAATTCTAATAGGCCATTGCAGGTTGGTGATATGATTTCGCAAATAATTGCTCCAACGATCAACTGTTGGCCGCCCCACGTAGTTAAAGTTCTCCAACTGATGTGACACCAACAAAGTAAAAAAAATGCAAGTGTTGCAAAAGACGGTGACGCATCATCAAATTCGGGATTCAGTTTGGCACGGTGGTCTCTTCAAGAGTTTCTCATTTCAAGTCAATAAGAAATCGGTGCGAGGATCTACGTTTTGCGTAATTACACCAAATGAATTACTGTACTATCTTTTTGAACTCCCAGGAATGTTCAATGACGTTCTGTTGACAATTCTAGATCCTCAAAATACTGAAGATGGACTCTCTCTACAACGAAATTCAAGGGACCAGAAACTAGTTCGTTCTAGAGATAATCAATAATCCCTCTATCTCGGTTTTAAAACCCTATACTGTACAGAAAAAATTATTCATGCAGACAACATAATTGTTGACAAAATCGTTGTGAAGAGAGCCTACCTGTAAAGGTTTTTCTAGGACTTGAAAGACATAGTAAAAAACCCCTTGGATTTCTTTTTGTTCAAAGCTCACCTGAGTTCATGCCAAATATACTCATACACAGGTAGACTTTTCCTACAGCAATTTTGCCGAAGGAAAATTCACTGAGCATAACAAATGTGCGCATTTATTTTTGTCCTATGATACGGGTCTAAACCCATATTATGGAGGTTCTTCAGAACGAATTTTTTCTGGGTCCTCGGAATTTCGTTTTGTAGGGAGTCCATCCGCAGTAAATTGGCAACAAGGTCAGTTCAACAACGTTCAGCACAACGCCCGATCATCATTTCCGAATTTTTACAAAATCTGGAACCACGCCCTCACCTGAAATGTAGCAAATTTCTGAAAAAAAAGAGACTGTTCTTAATTCTAGGGAAAACAAAGAAAAAAAGGAAGCCCAGGCTGTTTTTCCAAGTCAGTTATATATCCTTCCGTCAACTCAGTCCACGAGATAGGGTTAGAGTCCTCAACATCCTTAACGAACCAAAAACAAAAATGCGAATCCGTTGTGCATCCTCAACAAACAAAATAACCGATTTGCGCGAAATAAAAACGAGTAAAAAAAAGAGGTTTCACCGAAACACATTCGAATTATGCCCTCGATGCCTCGCGGCGCAAGAACAGAGCGAACGTCACGTGAAAATACTCTATCACAAAATGCACGAATAGCTACGTTAAGCCAAGGGAACAAGACGAAACGAAATGCTCCGAAGAAGAACCCAACGGTTTTTTTTTTTCTTTCAGAAAATCACCCCACGCGTCGTGAATACTTCGTAAATCGCAGGAGTGCACCCCATGTCAAAAGGATCACAATGAGCCCACAACGTCAAGCACAGATACAAGATCATGACGAGCATCTTTTTAAGTCGCGACCAGAATACATTCGCATAAAGCAGAAGGAACCAATTTTTTTTTTCAAGTTCCGGCAGCAGGAATTAACAACATGCACGAGTGAGAAAAATAAGACTTCGAGGAGTCCATCGCAAGGTTAACCTTGGAGTAGCGAGAAACACTTCCGATTCCAGCCTGAGCAGACGCACGCTTTGAAAACTACAAAAAATACAGCAATGGAATCCCCTTTTTTCATACGAGTTTGATCAATTCAGGCCTGTAACAAGTCAACGATTCTTTTTTCTTTTTTGCCACTGTCACGCTCACACAGAACAACCGTCACGTTTCCTCTCATTTTGGCTTCTGCAGGTAGAACTTGGAAGAACGAACTATTTTTGTATCCTTTTTCTTTTGCCCGGAAAATCCTCGGTACGGGAAGGAAGTCCACTTTCCGTGGAATTCAGCGGAGTATTCGAGACACGTAGCTTCGAAAAGGTAACATCGATTTCTCCAACAAATCATCGGCTGAGCTAATCTCAATTTTTTTTTCGAGGAAAAATTCCGACTACCGCGTGTCTCCGTCCAGACTTGCCTTTGCTTTGGAATAAGAATCTTCCATTGTATCAGTATGGAAACTACAAGGTACCACAGTACCTTGAAAAAGAAGCTCAAATTTCAGGATAATTTGACAAGATGTTCGAGCACATCGAAGCTCGTTTCCCCCCTTCCTTTACATGCATATTAGTGTAATCGACATAGAATATACCGTGCATTATTAGGGACGTCTTTCAGTTGCCTCAACTGGTAGATGGATGCAGTCTACTAACTTATTCATCTCATCAGATTGTCAAAATAATCTGAGACATCGCTGGCAAAAATACAAGCTATTCCACGTCAGATTCACGAATTGTAGAAAAAGAGCAATAAAATGAAAACGAAGAAGAGTCACACAAAAAAAAATACTTCGGAAAACAAAATCGCCAAATTTGACTGCTTAAGAAATGAATTGCTCAAGACACGACATCTTCACCGTCCATCGATATGTTAAAAGATGAATTCAAGGTATCCCAACTACCCAACACACTACCGGAATTTCCAAAAATTCAAAAGGGCCACCGAAAATTCGTGTCATTTTGGGTTTCAAACATTGCAGGATAAAGCGCCAAGCTTTCTTCGTCTAACGATTACCTCATAATTTCTTTTGCAGTACAGTAATTCTGTTGTTGAGACGCACCGAAGACTGTTCCAGGACAATGGAAGCCTCAATTTCGAAGGACACTATCCAGTACTGCATAGAGATCGTAAACCAAAGCATCAAGGGGGTAATGTTCGAATCAATCGTAGAAACTGCAGGTAGATTCAAAGTCCAGCGAATGCAAGTCCAAGCGGAACACGCGATCCCCGAATTTCACGCGGGATTGACATTTTCACATTTTTAGATACCACCGCAAGAAGCCCAAACAAATCACTACAAGCGCAACAACAATGGTTCCGAGGAAAAAAAACCAGGAAAGCCGGAAGAGAATCTCCACAGGAGTTACATCCAGAACGCTTGCCAGTAGTTTAACAGAACAAAGCACGAAGAACATCTCACCCCGGCCGCAAGCTTACGAAATAACAAAATCGCAGCTGGGATTTGCCGTCAAGAATACGAAAAAAGATAACGCCGTTATTAAGCCATGTATGCATTGAAAACACACGCGATTACGATTACAGTCAGTAACACATTTTTTTCCAAGCTTCGTTTCGTTCCACTCCTTTCTTAGGAGTTCTTTTTGGTATTTCCTTTATCACGCCGCGGCGTAGGCAACAAAAACGGCAACAGCATCACGCCAAGTCCGATAATATGTGGAGCGAAATAAAAGCCCCTGAGAAATCATGGATGGATAGCGATTATCAGAATCTGAAAACACAGAATTCTTGATTTAAAAAAATACTTACTTGTAAACTTTAATGCTCGGTCCGAATTCAAGCAGAACAAATGAAAACGTGATGTACGCCAAGATGAGCCTCGCAGTAACAGTCGTTATGGCATCATAGAATAATTTTTTCTTCTCGCACGACAAGAAGAATGGACGAATGCTCCGTCTTGCCTGCAAAGAAAAGAGAAAAACGAAACATTTTCATTCGTCAAAAAATAGTTCCCAGACGTTTATATAAGACATCAGTGTTCGATATACAGTACAGTCTTGTATATACAGGTACTGTATTTTAAACTGACAAAGGATTCGAATTTACGACGAAAATAAAACTCCAAAATATATTTCGGATTTACGACACCCCAAAATGTGCAATACTGATGAACTTGGACAACTTTCTCATTTTTCTATCACGATTATTATTTTTAAAGGGTAGAATGGTAGATGACGCTAGCAGTCTAATTTCATTTCCATTTTCACGAAGCAGTACTGCGACACATTGCTTTTTTATTGATTTTTGCCAGGAATAATTTTTTTTACTGATGAAGATGAATTTCCAACATACAGTATTTCTCACTAAAGAAAATTTTTCATGAATTTTTAGACTTCCAAAAAGTTACACGGCCATTTTGAAGCACTTATGCGTGCGTATCACCCAAAAGTTAAATTCAGAAAAAGTTGAGATCATCCCAGTGAAGGGACGAAGTACTTAATTTGCACGCAAGGTTTATATTATAATATTAGATGGAAGTCCTCAGACAACTCGTTCAATGCTCAATAGGGCCGATTTACTTCGTGAGCATTACGTCAAACGCTTAAAAATTGCTCAACATCTTTTTTTTTTGTATTTTTTAAAAATGTTTCGAGCTTCAACGCACGCAAAAAGGTGCGAACAGGGAATGGTCCTTGAAATGGCAATAAATAACTCACGGCTCGCGAAGACAAAGTGAACAAAGCCCCGCCGACGAACGTGAGGTAATATCCGGGATAGAATCCGTGCCAGAAAGCAGACAGCACATACGTCGACAACGTCCTAAACTTGGGCACGCGTTCATACACCGTCATCTTGAGCCAGCGATTCGTGCCCTTATTCCAGCTGGCGATGAGTTCGTGGAAACTCAAGCCAACCTCCACGCCGTACAGATCCACGTTCGAGATCAGGTCCCATCGCGGAAGTCCAGATTCGTCATAGCCGGCGAAACCCAACCCAGAGGCGTTTGCGATTGCATCAGCGAGTATCCATGCAACGTAATATTTCCACCTCGCAATGGTCGTGGCCATCAGCACGTAGAAGCTTCGGTACACCACCGATGCTTCAAAGAATGAGTCATCTAAAAACAAGGCGATGGGTACGGGGATTATTTCATTAGTTTGGTCAGGTTCGCGATTCCCCTGCTGGAATCTTCGATTGATGAATATTACATCAATTTTCACGGGTAGTTTCTCGAACGTTTCTTAATTTTCTTCCAAGATTTTCTCATCTAGGTTGGAACGAAGAGAAGACAGAACAGTTTAAAATGCGTTTGATTTTGAGGATACACATTTTAACTGCCAAACTTGCATTTAGTGTGAATTGGCAGGTGGTCAAATTGCTGTCAAAAAATATGAATGCAAGTAGACTCTCTCAGAACGATATTCTCGGTAAGACGAATTTCGTTCTTCGTCACACAGGATTCTCCAGCCATATTACAAGGGTAACCCTAAATTTTTTTTCTGATCCCCTAAATTTTGTTGTGGAGAGTGCGCCAGTATACGAAACCTGGTCGTAACAATTTTCCATCGCTGATAATCAGTTTTTAACGAAAAATTATCATCACCTCGATGATTTTTGCTGAGGGATGCAGAATGTGAAATTTTTTTCTAAAATGTGAACTGCCTGGCAAGAGGTCGCCCAAGTAAGACTGCTTGAATTTAAAAAAATTTTTTGCAACGGCTTGCTTGCATTTTGACCTTGAGAATTTTTTCTGGGGGAAGCTGAATTTGGAAAAAAAAAGTTATGGGATGTGAACTGCCTAGCAAGAGGTCGCCCTAGTCAGTGCTAAAAAAATACTTGAATGATGCCAACGACTTGCCCGAAGTTTTTTTGTTTGTTTTTTTAACTGATTCCACGGAGTTTGTTTATGACTCGGAAACGTTGATATCCCGAAAACTTTCAACGTAGTGACAAAACTTCTGAGCCACACCTTGCGAATCTACCAACAGCATCAATCAAATCGGATAACTCTTTCGAAGTAATTAACGGAAATGATATCTTCGAAGAATGATCAGTCATTCTGGAGCACTCAACGGAGCAAAAAATCCTGCTGGATAACTTTTTCGCAGCCAAGACCTAATCCCATTCATTAGGAAGTTGTAACCAAGCCATTATTATTTTCCACTCCAATAAAAACGAACTGGTTTCTAAACTCGTTTCGTGATCCCAAGTTCTCAGACATTTTTCCCCGGACAGAAAATGCGAGTACTGCAGAAACAAATACAGAAATTATTAAAAATATTTTTTCCTTTTTTTCTCTCTTGGGTAGGCAAGTGTGAAAAATAATTAATTTCACTCCTCCAGAATAATATGAAGTACAGTATATAAATAATATACTGTATATATATATATACATATATACCGTACATTTACTGTATGTATACAGTACTGTATAACGTAATTCAGACTTACCTTTGAGGTGCTTGATTTCAAAAACGGGTCCCAGAAATAGGAATCCGAGGGCAAACAGGAGGCTCGCGCTAACTTTGGAAGTGACAGCAATCAAAGCAGTTGGTTCGGCTGTTTTCTCGTCCAAGGCAGGAATACAACGTGAACCATTAGAAACCCCGTTTTGTTCACTTCGTGCTTCTTTAATCTTGAAATTCCTTCCAGTCACGAATTCTTGGTAATCAACATAGAATACCATGGGACCAGCACAGACTCCTTGGAAATTCAACACGTAACCAAAAAATTCCAGCACTCCCGGCTTTTTTCTGAAAATTTGAAAAATACATAAGATATGTACAAGCGAAATTAGAACTGATGAACAACAAAATATTTAAACAAACTAATCTTCACGTTGAGCGTACAGGATCTGTACACTCCCAACATTTACTGTCTGACTTATTTTTATTCCATGCACGGATTTATGACATTTTGTTGTGCTTAATTCGAGTGTCGTTAGATTAGATAAGAATAGAATATGATTTCTGGGTCAGTTCAGGTTAGTGGGCCAGGCACGGTTGAACTAGTTCACGTGGGGTTAGCGATTTACGCGAGATCAGCACATCAATCGAAAAAGCAAGGTTCTACGCTCGGGATAAATTCGTGACGTAAGAAGTACTACACTACAATAACGTTCGAAAAATTACTTTGATACCCCACATTTAGGCTCGAATGAGACCAGTTACATTTTTATGAACAACGAAACTTCTAACCGAAAAATTAAGGAAAAAATGTATTCAAATTCAGAAAACGGATTCAACTCACTTAATGGCGTAGCGCTTTTGTCCAGGATTCAAGTCGTTCCAAGATTTCGCCAGGCCATCGTGCAGACTAAATGCCAAACTCGTCACTTTCTGAGTCATTATCATCAACGGTCCTGGTAAAAAAAAACCACGTGAAAACCAACGAATGGGTCTACAAAAATGCATACTTCATACCGGTAATGTCGATCACATAGGCTCCGTAATCAGTCCATTGCCTCCATAAATGTATCGCAGACAAGTAAACCAGGGAAATCACAAGACAGATGCTGCGGAAATTTCAAAAAAAGGAGGTTGACGATGACCCAGAAGATTTACCAAACGAACACAACTTACACGTGGCTGATGCCTATAGGAAGCAAATGAATTGCGAAAAAGCAGCACGATGGCAGGCCAATCAGATGCAGGACATTGCTGAAAGCAACACGAGAGGCTGAATTTTGGATCCGGAGTTCAATTCATTTTCGTCCACATTAAGGTTTCACTATTTCGTGACAGACACGGACATGGTACTGTACTTGAAAAAATTGAGTCAACAAAATAAATCGGAGATTTTTAAAATCCTATACTTTTTCGAGATAGAAAATTTCATTTTATCCCAGAAATACGTTAGCGTTTCGACCACACTAATTTTTGCACTACCCGAAGTAAATTACTGTAATTCGTTCAGAACCCATTTGCACACCACAAAAAAAAACCTTGTCCACTAAATTTCAGCAAATGATTTTTTTTCCCTCTCGGATCTCGACTTAATTCACTGTCGCTTGAAAAATCAGTACGCTTCTACTGTGGCCAGAAAAAATGTGATTTCGTGCTAAAATTCGTAAAACATTACAGTGCTTCTAGCCACAGTTTGATATTTTCAAAACAAAAATAGGATGCATCGTCACCTTCCGAAGCAGAAATACGAGAGGGCTAGGCCGAGTGACAGCGCAACGCTCAGTCGAAGCACGGGCGATGCTTTAGTCGGGTGCAGAAAGCGCCGAAATGCAAAGGCAGCTCCGAGACATACGCATTGAGTTATCAGGAAATTCACCTGTGCGCACAGCATATAAATATGAATAAATGATATGAATGAAAATCGAATCCATTTCTCTTGCATCTACAGGATGGAAATGTTGAACATTTCGCAAGCTCTTTGTGGATTTTTCTTCCGTTTACACATGCTAGAGCGCTGCGTTCAAACAAGACTGCAAAAAACGTTATAGACGCGTGACTGTTGCAAACGTGCGCACACACACCAGCACATAAATGCCAAACAACATAATATGAAATAAAGCACAGTAATAACGGTACGTGTATCAGCATTAGAATGTTCGTTAGGTTCCAAGAATAGAATAAAAATAATCCTGATACTATTCCTTGGCTTTAAGGAAAATCATCATCCACTTCATTTTATTGCGATCCTTCTGACTCAAGTAACTCCATTTAAACTTCGATAAATTAAAAAATGACGATGTTCCGTAGGTCTGCGTTTTTCGATCACTATGTACTGCAGTAAAAATTCTCATTTTTGACAGAATATTTACGGTCTAGACAATGTCAGTAAACGCTGATGCATTAAATAAATACTAGAGTACTACTCATACAGCACTCATATCAGTTATATGCATGTCCTAAAATTGTTTCATTTTCAATGCATAAGTTCCGCCCAACAACAAAAAAATTATTCCAATCTGAAAGTCGAAGTCGAAGTTAGCGAAATCCTCGAACTTTCAAAGAAGTCTTAAAATTAACTAAAAACCAGATCGATACAAAAATGTACGGGACACAGTTTCCAGAATCAATTCTACTTCGTTGTCCATACGGTGCACCATGCTTCTCAGGATTTCTCCCTTTCATGCACATTCAAATAAAAGTGCTTGAGCTTCATAGGTTTACCGCATAAAAAGTGATACACTTGAAAACAATCGAAATTGCTGCAGAAAATGGGGCTGTCCGCGTTCTTTTTTCATTTCTTACATTTTCGTTTCATTTCTGGTGGTTTCCGACTTCATTACAGTACATGGAAACGCTATTTTATCGAAATTTACACGAAGTAAATTTCGAAGGGGATCGGAAAGACATTAGCCCTACCATTCATATTTCGTTCCACATGACTTGATAAATAGCCTTTCGGGAATCCCTACTGGAACAGATTAAGATCTTCAAACGAGGTACTACAGTAATGTATTTCTTAATTCGTGATCCTAATGAACACTGACGGAATGTTTACGAAAATTAATCGCAGAAAAACGCACATGCACATGAAAGAATAATTTCCCCACCTGATCCAGCGGAAGGAGAGACCACTCCGAGAGCCACGAAAACAACGTAGATCCAGAATACAACATGGTTTCAGCAAACGTTCACGGTAAAAATAACTCAGTACAAAGGTACTCCTGGTTTTTCACGGCTGAAATGCCACTTCACATCACCAATTAAACCATCGCGACTCGCTTCCAAATGCCTGTAGCGAGGAAGCCGCCGCAGGACGAGACTGGAGATAAAAATAAAGATGTTCCCAAGTCAGCCAGCGGAGATAAACAATCGTACGACCGTTGCAACACTAGCACTTTCACATGAAGCTCAGGTGACACGGCCCACTTCATGGGTTCAAGAACTCTCCGGGGAATCTTCCTAAGATATCAGCGATTATAACCCACAAAAAATAAAAATGGCAATTCCGGAAATTATTCCGAAGATTTCTGCGACCAGTTTTCTGAGAAGCGATTGATCAACTTCTTCAGAAAACGTATGAAAATTTCTCGTTCTCGACATCGATAGCATCAATATCCGGAAATGTAGGGTATGGAAGAAATAATGGATCCTAAGAAAAGGTTTACAGCAAAAACTGCAGGAGAAAAAACGACACGTACGCCAAAATTCACTTGAACCTTTCCTAGTTAAAATATTGTACACACATTGTATAAAAATACAATATCTTGGAAAAGGTTTTCTCAGCAGATGAAAAATTGCACCAAAATGCCAAAAACTGCGCTTTATCTTCTTGAATGGAAATTACAGTACCTTTCGGGACACAATGCAAAAAAAATTCCAAAAGAAAACGATCGCGTTCCTTATTCGCAAAACGAAAAATGAGTGTAAAATCGAATAAAAAACGACAATTAAATTCGGTAATCAAAAAATACTTCCGAGTGAATGAACTTCTTTTCTACAAAGGCATGCCGATAAAATAAGCGAAAAGGGCCAGCTTTTTCTTCAAAATCCATTTCCCTAGTCAGGCACGTAATTTTACAACCCGGGCGAATTATTTTCGAACACGTATCGCTCAACACTTTGGCCACAGAGATACCGAAAACTCCGTCAATTACGAATTTTTACAGCCAAATATTGCACAATATACTGCACACGATCGATCAAAAGTAACTATCAGAAGCCAACATGGCGAAAATAATTGCTCAACGAAATAATAGTTCAATGACGAACGAAAAGGCACTTTTGAATTAACCGGAACAACTTCGATTTCTTCTACCCGAGCAGACACACGCGCGTCACTCCTTTATCTAAAGCAAACGAGACAAGGCGCCGCGTCGAAGCCTGACACGCGATGCGTTTTATTTAAGCTGACGTATGCAGACCAACTTGAAACCGAGACGAGCCCACTCCTCAGCGGCACGACGAACACTCGCACTTTGTGGAACCAAGAGGAAGCACTGTCGAGTACTTTAACGAACTCTGGGGACTCTGCCAAGAGAAAGACACACACTTAGGTCTCCACTTCAGGCTCAGCACCAAGATCAAAGCCTTATCATAGTCATAGGAAAAGAAAACAATGCCGTTTCAATAACAATTTCAATTTTTCAATCGTTCATCCAGGCGAAGTGTCGGCTTCAACGCGGAAGAAAATTCTACCTTCTTCGAAACTCTTCACACACACACACAAGAGGACCGAAAGCGCCACCACGCGAGCGAAAAAAAACTTTCAACAATAAGGTTTGTAAACCGCGCGAGGAAAATGAAAAACGAGAATCTCGAATCTCAGGTTAGACGGCCATTAGTTCGTTCAACTCGTAAGAGTTAGTCGAAGTTTAAAAAAAGCGGCAATCTTTCAGCAGGTACTAATCAAAAACACAGCCGAATACTTTATCCCTCGTTTTTTTCTGGCTTATTGGAACATGAATTCAACTTCATACACAATGTTGATAAAAATCATCTTGAGGGATTAAATAACTTTTTCGAAAATGTGACTCACAGTTCAACGCATCACAAATTCTGAAAACAAATCATACGGCATAACGTAGTGAGAAAAAACTTGCTCGAGAAGAAGCCCAAATTATCTTACATCATGCAAAAGATAATTCATGGGTGGACAAAAATCTGAATTTCGAAGTTTGGGAATCCCATATGACTAGTCATACTTATTATCGCAGACGAGCTTTTTCCGCTTTAAAAAAGCTTGACTTCGCAGAAAGTTTTCAGAAGGCTTGCTTACAAGAGACCAGAAAAGTAATGGGACGAATTCTTCAAAGATTTCTTGAATTACCGCGTAAAGTTTTACTGAAGTGGAAAAAGTCGGACCGAAGCTACACAGAATCTTTCTCACTTTCGCGTAACACTGAACCGAAAAAAACACATCTGACGTCATATATCTCATGTGATCCTAAAAAAAAGCACTTTCCGACATTAGGATGCATCGTGCATAAAAAATCGAACAAGCACATCATTCAAACAGCAGCTCAACTAAGACCTCCTGTCTTAATCTCAGAGGGTGACCACTCCGTGATGTGGTCAGGTTCTTTGCCTTTCTCGAATCGACCCCACATTTTCAATAGTAGAGTTTCAAGGTTCGACGTGTAAACTTTGGTGTTGAACAGAGGTGAATCCCATCTGGCTTTCCAAACTCGTGCCCGAATCGCCTTCAAGCTATTGATAAAAACAAGGAAAATTTCATTCCACTCTGATGCACAGACAGAAATTCAGAGAAGAGCCAAAAAAAAAGGATCTAGTTCGGAAATAACTCACTATTCTTTGTCGTTTCCGAGTTTGATCGCAATGCCTTCGTAGTCTTTTCGGTTCTTTGCGATCAATTCTGGGACACCCATGCAAGTAAGTTGCGACGCTGCAACACGCGACGCTAGCGTTTCCTCTGAAAAAAAAAAAAAAAAAAACGGAAAACATTAGAACTTCGAATGATCAACGCTTCAAACAATAGTTTTCAGTGTACACCAGGACTTGAGCTGCCAAAGTTGTGTAGCTGCCCAGACAACATTTATTCAAGGATTTACAAATGAAAGTTTTGAGGAATGTGTCACGGAATCCCCATCAGTTAAGTTTGCATAACTCGGCTGATTTTTAAGCGGCTAGAAATATTTGGACATTCTCAATGGCCGTGAGCAATAAAAAAAAAGGCTTCCAGCGATAAATAATCCCCGCAAAAATAAAAATGCAATTTCTTAGCAACGATCAAAAAATTGTATTGAAATACAAGCTCGTTTTATAATTCTTCTTCGTGGTAGACTCTTAGTCGACTCAGTCTTCGGATTTAAAAATATCTACCAGCAATAATAAAGAATTTTCACACAGTGGGGCGACCAAAGTGCTAGCGCACTTGGTACACAAGTTCCATTTTCCATGTGAAAAATGGGTCATGGTCGAGAAAAAAAAATGCGTACCAGGCAGTGTAACCATAGGAGTTCCCGCCCAGAGAACATCCATGCCAGTTGTGTGTCCATTGCAAAGAGGTGTATCAAGACAAACATCCGCCAACTGTCCTCGACGAACGTGCTCTTCTTTGGCTGCGACATTCGAGAAAATGATTCGGTTATGCGGCAGACCCATCTGTGCCGCGGATGACAAAATATTCGGCTCCCCAACTGCTGGGAATCTCAGCAGCCACAAATACGAATTCGGGACCTTCAGCAATACCTGCAAAAATGAAAAAAGCCATGCATTACTTCAATTCGATATAGATTAACAGCTGGAAAAAAATACTGCAATAATCTTGATGAGACATCCAATTCTTTTAATCTGTTATGTCAAACACATGTCGCATGAAACACCCAAAAAGTATGTAACCTAGAGCCTGGAAGGCATGAGGCAACATAAAACGACCGAACATATACTGTAGTAGTGAAGGTCAACAACAAGTCAACGAGAATCAAAAGCCCAGCGATTTAGAATCCAAGTAGAATGAACACAAAATAAATCAAAATAAACTATTAGAAGCTGTTAATTAAAATGTTCAACGTGATTCAGATTTTTTTCAATGTAACATCCAGGACAGCCTTACAACTAACTTTAAAAAAAATTCAAATCAGCGTTTTCCCCACGAAACTCACCGTGACCCACGATCTTAATGTGTCGGGATCTATCTTGTACAGTTGGTTGAAGTTGCAATATATAACACCATCTTCGGGGAGTCCATATTGTTGCCTGGTTGTCACAAGGATATTGGTGGGAACTTCTTCTCCAGTAGCTGCCTTATTATTCAGCTGGTTTGTGGCCAGACCATTCTGAACGATCAAACCATTCACGCTGGTCTGCAACTGTCCACTGCATATCATAGCCTGAAAAATAAAACAATTGTTCATTCAGCTTAGAGAAAAAAATGATCGTCATTCAATGTCCAGAATCCGTTCTACAGTTGGTCTATTCAGACGAGTCAATTGTGATTATAATGGAGTGCAGTGGGACCCCGCAGAACGAAACTAATCCGTTCCTGAATGCCTTTTTGCATGCCGAATTTCCGTAATGCAAAACGAGATTTCGTTCAAGGTTACATTATACAGGAAATAATTCGTTCCAGGCACTCAACAAAAGGACATAAAGAACCTTAAAAACTTGAGTATTTGTCCTAGTTTGCAGCGTGAATTTGTGAATTTTAAATGGAGTATCTGTATAAAATTTCAGGAATCCTGGCAAGTTTAGGCTCTGAACTTGGCCAGAACAGGCAAAAATATGCCCTCTTTTTGTCATATTTCTCGACTTATAAAATTTTGAAGTTCAATAAAAAATTTCTGAATTCGAAAATTGTTCCACACAAAAAGTTCGTTACACAAAAAATTTTCACTCTGTGAAAATTCATTCATTCCTTCTCAGGAATTTCTATCATGCGGATATTTTTACGGGCGTGTCTTTCGTTATGCGGGGACTCACTACACGCAATTCGTTAAGCATTCGAAAATAACGTACTTCAATGGGCATCGTGGTCGGCAGATGAGCAACAGTAACGGACACTTCAACCGGCTCGCTACAAGCTGGAGCCACGAGTTCCTTGACCTGCTTCAATTCCGCTTTCTCCATAATCGGTTTCAGGTCCGTGGTATTAATAATCGCAACATTGTCAGCGAGTCCGTTCACGCTCATGTTATCCTTGGTGTCGAATACGATCCTTTCTGTCAAATGCTTGAACATCCTCGCGTGGTCCCCGATGAAAAAGGTATGCGGCATATATGCCAGTTTCTCTGAGTACTGACTGGCCAGATGCAAAGGTGAAGTCACCGCGTCGCTTATCAAATAATCCATAAAAGGAGCTCCACTCGTTCCCGGATATCCCAGCCACATCGCTTGGATCGGAGCAGGCCTCAAAGCGAAGATCTCGTTCCTGGCCCCTTTGGTGTATCCATTCATGTTAACCAAAACGTGTATTCCATCTCCGTTGATTCGATCAGCCGCTTTCCCGTTACAGTGCAACAAAGACAAGTCTACGAAGTGGTCCGCTTGTTTGACAATGCGTTGTCGGAACGCCGTTCCATCGTCTGGACTGAGAGCGTAGCAGAAAATCTCGACTCGGGCCCGGTTATGAGAACCCGGAATAGACTGCATGAGATGCGATGTGGGATGATTGCAAAAATCAGAGCTAACGTAACCAATGCGAAGCTTCCCACCCGGGGCTAGTTCAGTCGGATACTTGTAAGGAGGCTTGTGCAAAACTTGGATTTTTTCGATACACAACGCCGCGTGCTTCGATGCAATGGACTTGCGAAACTCGTGAGACAAGGGATATAGCATCGAATGATGTGGGTGCACACTCGGAAGTCTATTCTTTTCCAATTGATCCGCTACAATGGACACCTGAGGAATAAGGAATAAAAAAAACCGTCACACATCTTTAATACATCATTATATGCTTTCGAAGAAACATTCCGAATTAATGTCGGGACACTGAACGAAGCAGGATTCAGAATAACCTTCCTAAATGCGGAGTGGAATAAATTTACAGAATACCGTATTTAAGCGGACATGAACACTAAAATTCCATTAATACGCGAACATAAGCACTTCGTAGCAGGAAGTAAGGAACAACCCCTTTTTCCAATTTCAGCAGCTCAAAAACTACGGGGTGATTATATTCGCATATTCACGTAATTTGAATACATATGCGATCAGAAAATCTTTTTTTTTTCGCGGCCCACCAAACTATCAAGTCCCGTTTTTCATTCCTTTAGGAATTTGAAGTTGGAAATGAGCAAAAATGGTCCGCTTTCATCACTTCAAGATTGAAGGGGAACGGTAAGGGTTGTGTGACACCGTTTTGTTTTTTTCTGGAGAAAACCTAAATATAATGTAGTTAGATATTGCTATTTCCTGGAAAGTCAGAACATCGGGAAAGTACGTGGGTGCTTATATTCGCCTATTAATGGAATTTTAATGTGTTCATAAAACATCTAGGGAGGGGGTGCTTATATTCGCATAATTATATGTAGTACTGTACATTCATTACGGGATGGGCAGCAGAAAATGCACGCGGGTTACTAGTACTGTACTGTATTTTGTAGTACAGTGAAGTTAACCAATTCAGCATTAATTAACACACTGATAAGAAACCCGGATTTATTATTCACAATCTTGGTTGAAGATAAAACCGTGCAGAAATTAATGCATTTGCAAGCTTATTTAACCTCCAGCTATTTTGGAATGATTCACACTCGCCAAAAGAAGGAGAAACCGAGAAACACGTAACACCGCCAAAGCATATTTTATTTTGAGAAATTAAATGAAAAATATTACAATAACTTTCCTTTCTTGTTAAAAAAGACTGAAAGGGCCTCGAAACAGCTCATACAGTATTTTATTCTTTATTTAATTTTTCGAAAAATGGAATGAAAAATCCTCACCAAGCGTTTCATTCTGGATTCGTAGTCACTCCAGTCGCAAACGATTTGCAAACAATGAGCCAAATTGCAGTAAGCGTCAGGAAAGTCGGGCTTCAGTTTCAACGCAGTCCTGTAAGACTGTATCGCTTCCGGGATATTACCAGAATCTTTATGAATAGACGCCAGATTCGAGTGCGCATCCGCAAAAGCAGGATTGATTTGAATGGCCCGCGTGTAACACTGCAACGCGCCCTGAACATCTTGCATCTCCTTCAAAGTGTTCCCCATATTGGAATACGCATCGGCAAAAGATGGTTGAATCCGAATGGCTTCCTTGTAGTGGGCCAACGCTTCTTGAAGTTTTCCCTGTTGCTGTAACACGGATGCGAGGTTCGAATGTGCGGCTGCGAACTCCGGAAATACCTCCAGGGCTTTGCAATACAATCGCGTCGCGTCTTCGATGAAACCTTGTTCTCGTTTGATGTTTGCCAAGTTGTTCAAAGAATCCGAATGCGTCGGACATAATCTCAAGGCTGTGTTGTAGCATTCTTCGGCCTCTGTTACCTGCGGAAATATTTTAAATGCCAACGGATGATGGAATAGTCTTGGAATTTCAAAGAATATATGAAAATGAAGAAAAACTGAAGACGGAGGGGGGGGGGGGGGATAATTCGTCAAAAAGAACTTAATTTTTGACGAGCTGCGAACACAACGAATGCAGGTCTTTCGGGGCCATAAAAAGGCTGTGCACGGAAAATATTTTTACTGAGACAATAGTCGTAGAATCCACCAGCGAGACGAAACTGATATTTTACCGTTCTTCCGCTTGGACTACTAGAGACGACAGCGCCGATTTCGATGGAAAGAATATTACGAGTTTTCGTCAGCTGAATATCAAAATTGAATGGATCCTTTTGTCAAATTGAACGGAGTACAGGCAGACTCTCTATAACGAAATTCAATGGGCCACAAAAAAAGTGTTGTGCGGAGAATTTCGTCGTAGAGAACTTCTACAACATGGGGAACGAACCCTATGCCTATGAGATCTAGAAAAATCGTTACACAGAGAATACTGCTGTAGAGGGACTCCACCTGTAATACCAGATACGGAATTTTTTTCTTCAACGATAAATTCTAGAGAACGGCGTAGTTCCCCATTTTTGTAGTATTTTTCGCTGAATATCGCATTCCTTCGAACTTTACTTCCGAAGAAAACCCTTTCAACAGTTCGTGAATTTTGCTCCAAAATACTCGCATTTTGAGGAATAATCATGAAAATCGTACGAACTGAAAAACGAATCGAGACACACTGCATTTCTGCACGCATGTAGTTTTCGACTTTACTGACGACGTACCATCGATAATCTCGCCGTGATCAATTCCATGTCTTCACTTGTCGGGAATATCTGGAAACGACTCACCAAGCCCTTTTCCTTCAATGCGTTGGCAAGATTGCAGTACGCATCCGGGAAATTCGGCTGCAAGGAGATGGCCCGTTTGTATGTGTCGATCGCTAAATCGATCAATCTACAGAAATACACAGAATCAAGAGGTGTATTAATAAAACGCCGATCAACAGTAAATGCATCACTACAATATCCGAAAAATAGAACTCACCCCTGTTCGTAGTAGACGCAGGCAAGATTTCCATGCACGACAGCGTGATTCGGACTCAGATTAAGGGCTCTCAAGTACGCCGCAGCAGCGCTAAAAAAAAAAATCGTACATCAGGAAATAAACAATAAGTGAATGCAGATCATAATACGTGGTAATTCAGAAAATCAGTTATTCTATGCTCAAGTTGTTGAAGTTATCGTAACCACTCAAAGTTCCTCAGGATTTTTGAAGCAGATTGAGAACAAAAATCTACAACAGTACAGTAGTACAAGCAATTCAAGGTTTTGAATAATATTCGGAAGGTTTTTGATAGCAGTCGACAAAAAACCAGAAAAACTCGACCATCGACCGTCCTTACAGCGTTTCATGTCGAAGCACAGAACAGCTTAGCACCAAACTAGCAAAAAACAGTATTACTTGAGTATTACTGATACTAGTTTTAGTACGACTAAAGCCGCATAAGCGTCGAAAAATTCTACGATGTCAAACACTGAGCAGTTCAGTGTTACAATTCTGTTCTGTACTGTAATTTATTTGGGTTAGGCAAGGTTTGTCGAAGAAATCTGACAAACAGAAAATACAGCACTAATTGACCAAGCGAAAACTCGCATTACACCTGAAATCGAAGGAACGGTGAAAGCGAGACCAATTTTTGACGAAGAAGCGGCAACTCATTTCAATAACTAATTTCTTACAACAAAAAACACCGTATTTACTGCAGTGCCATGCAGCCTTCCTTTTCAAAATTACTGTGAGAGGAAACAGAGGCTGCGCAACACAGGCAGGTATACCTCTTTTTTTAAGCTTCGGTACACAACATTCATGATTCCAACACACAACATACGCGATTCCAACAGGGAATTTTGAAAAAATTTCAACAGAATTTACTGGAGAATAACGTTCAATTTGACTAAATTCAAGTCCAAAAACAATTTTCAATGTATTTTATTTTCAAAATACAGGTGGACTCTCCACAACTACGTTAATGATTTTCTCTTCAAAATACAGTAATTTCATTTGTAGTCCCATTAGGTTTTCTCTCCCCATGTCATAGGGGTTCTCTACAATGGAATTCTCTCCACAAAAATCTTGGTCCCTTCAATTACAGTGCACGGAGTGTATATCGGCATAGCGATTTTCAGTACTGTACAGTATTTCAAACTGAGGTGTCTTTTATTATCGTACTCAGGCATAAAATGTTTTTATAAATTTTTTTGCGCGTCTTACTCGAGTAAATACGAATATCCTGAACTACTGTACATTAAACTCTCAACGAGCAACTTTGAATTCATGTGTAAGGCAACATATCACATTACTGCATCAAATATTATCGCATAAACGCAACCATTTGAAAGGTTTGACTTTTCTCCCCACCTTTAATGGAGACCAGCTTCTAGAGACGGACACTTATTTACGACAGTCAAGACTGCAGGAAAACAGAAAAAGAAGAAAGAAAAAAAGAAAACCTCACATGAAAGTAGGAAAAATCCCTTCTTATTTCAACTTTTCCTTCGAAAAATGTGGCAGGAATTCTTTAATGGTTGATGGGAAACGTTTTCTTTCTTTAGCTCTTGCTACATGGGTTTAAAGGGAAATAACATAATTCTTTCCAATACCAACCCCTCCCCCTTCTTCGACTTAGCTACTAATCCAGAATATGCTTCAAGCTCTTGTCAGATCAAGCCATTACTAGAGACAAATTTCTATTGGAAACCAGGATTTTTTTTTAGAGAAAATACATCATGTGTATATAATATAACCGTACAGTATTTCCCTCAACTCACCGATCGAAAATTCGAGCTTCCTTCAATACATTCCCCAAGTTGATGTACGCGTCCAAGAAATTCGGATCCAAAGCAACAGCCTTTTCGAAGTGATGAATCGCCAGCCAAATTTCCCCTTGGGCATTGAACACGCAGCCCAGATTGCTCCATGCCACCGCGAAATCTGGTCTCGTCTCGATCGCCTTGAGGTAGCACGCCTTTTGTCCGCACCAGAAACAACAAAAAATACCCCCATCCCAGGAACCAGCCCACCCAGATCGCAATCGACGCCATCGCAAAACGACGATCGAAGCCACAAAAAAGAGGGGAACGGGCGAAAACGAAAAGAAGAAACAAAAAAAATTAGCATTGATTCAGTCACGAACGAAGAAAAAAAAAGAGCGCAAGCATGGACCACGGCGCTCCGAGGGGATAATCGCATAACAGCGCAGTCGCAGCGCAGCAGGTCAGGTCAAGTCACACCAAAAACATTTTGAAAAGCAAAAAGATGGAATATGACCATCGAGTTCCATGCAAGGTAACGCCTTTCCTCAGGGAAGACGTCCTGAAGATCGAACACATTTCACCGTTTTCAAGAAAAAATTCCGCCACAAACTTTCGATTGATACAAATACTGTACGTTAACAACGTTTTATCCAAAAATAATACAAGTCTTGCTGTTTTCCTTTTTAAAAAAACCGCGGCAAATCAGAACATGATTCAAACTTTATCACGTTCATTCAGCTTAAACAAAATGTTGAACTTCCAAATTCGACATGATAAATTTCACGAGCGAGCAAATTTGAGAACCAAAATTACTTTTTTTTTCCTCGCATTCGAATCATGCTTCTCAGCATTTAAATATATTTACGCTTATGAATTCAACCTGTAAATCTCTGCTCTCTTCGTTCAACAAAACATTAGCATTAATACAGAAATTATACCGGTACTTCGATTGATTCCATTCGAAATGGATCGAAGAGATTCTGACCATGACTTCACAAGAGTCCTGTTGTACCAAAAAAAAATCGTCACAGAGAACTCATGTAACATCGGGAGAGAACCCCATGGGACCAGGAAAAGGAAATTCGATACACAGAGAAGATTGTTGACAAGATCGTTGTAGAGAGGGTCCCCTCGTACAAGAAGATTTCTTTTTTTACAGACGATGTCATATTACCGGGGAAAACATTCGATTCTATCCTCATGTGTGAAATGACCATGACTCAAAAACCTTGCGATCCCGCAGCGCAATGCCCTAATATAAATCGCAGCACAACGAATTAAAATATAGTTTCGCACTGGATAAATCGCAGCAGCAGCAGCAGCAGCGCAATTCTCGCAGCAGACGCCCCACCCTAACCAGCAGCAGCGCAATGCATGCAACTACATAACAAAAAAAAACCATTATCCCCTCGGAAGAGTCCCTCCTCTCCTATTCGCATAATCGGCGCAATGAAAACATTCAAGACTCGAAATTAATAGTTCATTTATTTTTTTCACTCCTTCTGCGGCAATGAGGAAAAGCCCCGTTTCCGTTACCTGCACAAGGAGCATTTTCTTTGCCCCTACTTTCAAACAACACTTGCGCAATACAAACCCGAAACTCGTGGCTCCACTCCGCAGGTCCGGCAATCGTGGCTGTCAAAACCCCTTAAAAGGTCATAACGAGCACTCTTTCTGCCAAAAAACCATGGTCGTCTTTGCCTCCCAGATTCACCAGGCCTGACAAAATTTCATCTGATAGCGAAATCGCGAGAATGGGGAAGAAAGAAAAAATTTGGAAGTAAATCACTTTTGCGATCACTCAGACGGACATGTTCCGAGCACAGCAAATGCAATGCAAATTCGGCAGGAAGCTACTGCAGACTTCAGACTCTAATCATTGAATATTCGCGAAAACTTGAGATAATAATTCCGGCAGCGAAATCATGAAGCAATCATTGAACGTTCGTTCGACCTAGAATGAACACAGTGAAAAAGATTTCCTTCTACACGATCATGAAGTTGCGACAGACAGAGAAGGCGCAGCGTTGATAAGTTTACCTGGGCGATCAACAAACAAAACTTACTCGATTGCCTGTAATGCTTCCATTCAAGCATAATAATGAACAATTTTATTTGACTGTTCTTCTGGATTAGATCTTGGGATTTCGGGGATTTTGTAAGAATAAAATTCTGGAACTTGCATTTTTCAGAAACTTGAGAATTTCAGTTATTTTACACAACCTGGAATCCGTCTCTGCCTTTCAAAATAATCATGATGCATTCTTACATTTAGTTGCTCAACTTCGGAAGCCCATCGTCAAGTTCAGTACGATTCCCACACATTTTGTGGAAACCTCAGTTCAACAGTAGAATCTTGTTACAAAGAATAATCGCTTACAACGAAGTCATCTCTTAAAATCCCTGCCCAACAGCCACAATAATAAATGAAGTACTTCATGACGAATTTTTCATTTCAACGAAGCAGCCCCGATGGTTTCGTTTCAAGATTTCTTTCTACTGTATAAATATACGGTATTTTATTGGATTACTGTAAATTAAAATGAAGAGTAACCATCATCGCCAGTTTTATCTCTTCTGACTGCCCAGGTAAACTCACTTGTATAGGAAACCCAGATTCAGGTTCCGTCAGACGAGAGCTCCGACCGGCGAAGTGCTTCGCGAAATGCGCGACATTCGCAAGCAGCGCAAGGGACAAAGCTCGTCCCCATCAGCGGTTTGTTGAGCTCTCAACAGACGCATCGCATCGCAGCACCGCAATCGCGCATTTATGCAATCAAACGCAGAATCATCGCAAAAAAACCGCAGCAGCGCGAGCGCAATTCTACGCTGAACACTCGGAGGCATCCAAGTGTCGCGCAATTACGCGGCAGCGCAGGACGCTTTTGCGCGAGCCAAACCAGAACTCTCGTCTGTCTCGTTTCGTCAATGGTTTTCAGAGATAATAATCAACGCACGACTAAACAAAACAAATCTGAATATTTCTGGGAGACGAACACGGGACTTTTTACGGAAGAAATTGGAAATATTTTTTTCATAATTCTCCACGAATAGATTTAGCGTCTGGTTGGTGGTAAATGGAATATATTGCTGTCGGCCTCTTCGAAGCCCGATTCCCGAATTTCCTCTGACTGTCGCTGCTCATGGAACAATGGTACAGAAATTTAAGTATGCCAACAATTTTCCTTTTCAATGTTAAAATTACCTCAATCGTTCGGATGAGGACACGCTTTTACCTCCTTCCCTTACATAGTACAGTAACCACTTTTCTTGCAAAAATCCCTCGCTTACGCGTTCATGACTCCCATAAATATTCAGGCTATTGCTTGCGATAAAAAGCAAGAATATGGTAGATTGGAAACTCGACATTTCATCTCGAAAAATTTACTGGATCCTCCGAAATATCTCCGTACAGAACACGGGATTCTTAATAATTCTCCGTTCGGTCAGTCACAAACAACGAAATTACAAAAGATGCGTTATTAACGACGTTTTGCTGTCAGGAAACGAAAGAAGCAGGTGATTACTTCCAGATATGAGAAAGTTAAAGAGTACAGTACAGTATATGTAAAATAATTCTACGTTCAATTCAAAAAGATAACCCAGAAAAATGACCCGTGAACCTTCAGGGAAAAATTGCATGTAATGCATTTCGAGATCGGAAACCAACGCGGATAGGATTTGACGATGGACTTAATAGAAGTACCTATGGGATCCCGCATTAGGGATAACGATTCAATTTCGAGCTGACCGACAGGTTTTAGAATTTGATTCCACAGAAACAGATCGTCCGTTAATTAAACTGAAATATTTGATGGGCATTTTGGTCCGCAATCAACTATGGAAAACCAATGACGAAACGATCGCATGTATCTAACGGACACAACTCTTCGTACGGAATTATACCTCCGCCATCGTCTTTCCGATGTGTGTCATCTAATTGGGAATACGAAGTCAAACGCATGCGGAAAATACAAAATCGCACTCACCTTCGCCTCGTCAAGCCTACCCAATGCTTTCAGAAGATTTCCCAGATCACTCCGGACACAGTATAGATCCTATAATACAGAAAAGGTCGGTCGCAGAAAACGGTGAACTTCACGATGAAGACGTACGATCTTACCGGCTTATACTGCAAGGCAGAAACGTAAGCTTGGACAGCTCCTTCAAGATCGCCGGCGGCAACAAGAGCCGCCGCCAAGTTGATATATCCGTCAATGAAATCCAGCTTTAACCGGATGGCATGGCGATAATTCTCGAGTGCTTCCGGTAGCTGGCCCCTTTCCTTGAAAACATTGCCTAAATTTGAATACGCTTCCGCTAGCATGGGATTCTGCTTGATGGCAAGCATGCTGAAGTGAGCCGATTTATCCAAGCGGCGACACTGGAAATGGATGGAACTCAAAAGGAGAAGAACCCCCGTATTGGTTGGATCTTGCTTCCACAGCTGCATACAATGCTTTTCGGCATTATCGTAGTCCCCGGCTTGGTATTCTCTGTGAGCAAGCTCGGATAAACCTGCGTAATAAAATGCGAGATGAACAACAGCATAACGCACTGGGCTTCTTTATATCTTCATACACATCTAAGAACACTAGAAGCGATTTATTCACTTCGTACAGAAGATCTGAATAACTCACTAATTGAGGTGGGCATTTGTTGATGCTGCACGGGCATCGAAGTAATTTTGACAAGATGTTGGCCACTACCCAATTCAACAGCGGAGACCGGTTGATGGTGATGATGATTGGGCAAAGTCATCATCAAAACTTGATAATCACACACACTTCAGGTATGCACGAATCACAAAGTTCCGGTACTCGTACGAATTATCTGGACAGATAAGTGTAATCATGCATCACGCATGAATGTCGGAAGCGAACAATGATTCCACATTTGGAGATGGTGGAGGTAGCAGCCATGATGAACAGGGATGTTCACGATTTATATCGCGGATAACATCACTGCAAAAAAAGCGACATCTGACGGAAAATTACAGCGCGACATACTGTATATGATTTAAACATGAAAAGGTTGTAAGATTAGCATGCGGGGTTTGCAATGTGGTGGATATAGGACATCCCTATTCAGTAAGCTCGTCTATACGATTACTTTAATAACTTTATGCTTAACACACACACCAACAATATCAATCTAATTTTTACAATTGATTCAGCTGTCTATCGCCATCCGAAATTTGCATAAAATGATTCTATATTGATTGCAGCTGCTGTGAATAAAACTAGCATATGGAAGATGAGCACCGTTTATCTCGATAAGATGTATTTTTAATCCGAAGAAAATTTTGATGCGCACTTTTCAGAACTACAGTATAGCTTAAAAAAACTTTTAATGCTAAAAACTGCATTTCATTGTCCAGTTGAAAGTTTTACATTATCTTACGATTAGTAATACTGTACAGTTGGGCCTTTTGCTACCTGCAATTTCCCGCTCACAACTCGATTTGAAATTTCATNAAACTTTTAATGCTAAAAACTGCATTTCATTATCCAGTTGAAAGTTTTACATTATCTTACGATTAGTAATACTGTACAGTTGGGCCTTTTGCTACCTGCAATTTCCCGCTCACAACTCGATTTGAAATTTCATCTACTCCATGCCTAAATTTAATCCACCACGACTCGAACTATGTACAATAACATAGTTATCTCCCAAACTTGAAGTGTACGTATGTACTGGCTAAGATTTGCAGTTTCCTCAGCATGAATTCGACTTCTGCTGTATCCTGAACCGTACTTTTCATAATATTGCAGGTTGAATGAACTCATTGTCACTTCGGAAATGTTTTTACGTACGTATTTCGCACCTTTTTAAAGTCATATGACATAGATATGAAACATTATGTAAGAACATCGAATACAGCTTCCATCAGTCGCTGACTGATTTGTACCTTTTCAAGTGATTTTTTTTTAATTGGTCCTCTTTTGTGTGCCAACCTGTAAGGAGTAAAAACAATATCTTGTAAAATAGGTATTTGTTCAATCCATTGCATCTTTGCTCTGTGGACTTGGGGCGCATTGATTGGAGTGAACACTTGCGATCGGCAAAATTTATGCAAATCGTTTTTCACTCGGAACATCAGTGCAGGTGTCCGACATGGATAGACTTTTTCAAGTACTATCAGAAAGCATTCGGTCTTTAATGCTAAAAACTGCATTTCATTGTCCAGTTGAAAGTTTTACATTATCTTACGATTAGTAATACTGTACAGTTGGGCCTTTTGCTACCTGCAATTTCCCGCTCACAACTCGATTTGAAATTTCATTTACTCCATGCCTAAATTTAATCCACCACGACTCGAACTATGTACAATAACATAGTTATCTCCCAAACTTGAAGTGTACGTATGTACTGGCTAAGATTAGCAGTTTCCTCAGCATGAATTCGACTTCTGCTGTATCCTGAACCGTACTTTTCATAATATTGCAGGTTGAATGAACTCATTGTCACTTCGGAAATGTTTTTACGTACGTATTTCGCACCTTTTTAATGTCACATGACATAGATATGAAACATTATGTAAGAACATCGAATACAGCTTCCATCAGTCGCTGGCTGATTTGTACCTTTTCAAGTGATTTTTTTTAATTGGTCCTCTTTTGTGTGCCAACCTGTAAGGAGTACAAACAATATCTTGTAAAATAGGTATTTGTTTAATCCATTGCATCTTTGCTCTGTGGACTTAGGGCGCATTGATTGGAGTGAACACTTGCGATCGGCAAAATTTATGCAAATCGTTTTTCACTCGGAACATCAGTGCAGGTGTCCGACATGGATAGACTTTTTCAAGTACTATCAGAAAGCATTCGGTCTGGGCGCATTGATTGGAGTGAACACTTGCGATCGGCAAAATTTATGCAAATCGTTTTTCACTCGGAACATCAGTGCAGGTGTCCGACATGGATAGACTTTTTCAAGTACTATCAGAAAGCATTCGGTCATATACTCATGGGTAATCAGTTACATCTTCCTTCGTTGACGATTCAAATTTGTAGTTTCTGTAAATAATTTAATGGGCTCCATTCAAGTACTGTATTTTACGAATCCCAATACTTCATCATGAAGCATTGAGACCGAACGTGAAAAATTATTCATTTGCGAGAAGAAAAAAATTATTTAAAAATATTTCAATACGAACGCAAAAGACAACATGATGAAAAAAAGAACATGCGAATCATCGTCACGTTTAATCAACAGAATGAATATGAAGTACCATCACGTAGTTATTTCATTGCCACAATTGAATATTTTTTTTCCACACTGAAAAAAAAACAATAAAATTCTAAAAACTCAACAAAACGTCAGTCAATCACTCGGGAAATTGGAATTCAGGTATTGCACGAACAAACTCTTGATTTTGGCTTCGCTGTCCGGATGCGGCTGCGACTTCATGAAAGTCAAAAACTGCCGCCGCAGCCGCGAGAGCACAGGCACAGTCGCCGCCGCCGGCAGCCGAATCTTCTCCTCCACATCCGCCACCGTCATCTCAACCCCGCTGCCGCCGTTCACTTTCATCAACGCCGTGGCGTCCGACACGATATTCCGCGTCAATTCGTCCATCTTCTGCAAGAGGTCCGTGTCGGACAGTGGGGAACACTCGGTGGACTTGTTGGGGGTCGGTGGCGCCTGGTCGTACAGGCACTTGCGCACGTCTTCCAAGATGAGTTCGTTGTCGGCGCCTTCTTCTTGGCTAATGTGGAAAAGCGGACTGTCCCAGCGGTTTTTCGCGTCAGGCACTTCGTATCGCTGTCGCAGCATTCGTAGCACGTCTTCATCATAGCCCGGGACGTCGTAGTCGTCTTCACTGTTGTGCAAATAGATTGTGCATTGGTTCGTTCTCGCTGCTTTACTCGCGCAGAACAGCTCGTACCGAAACCCTGAGTGTGATTACATGTTTTCTTCTCACATTTTTCATTTTATATTTCGAGGAAATAATCCAAATACACGTTTTAAGGGAAAATGCGTCGCATACGACGAACTGGTGTGTTGTACGATCCCTCTTTCCCAGCGCGATTGAAAATTGCGAATACTGTATTCATGGTTTTCAAAGGTCTTCACCCACAAAGCCCTATCGGAGTCGGACTAGAACTAGTACTGTAAATAATTTTACATAAGTGACGCATACTGCATTCCGGAAAATCTTTTTGTCCTTTCATTACCGCGTAGAAATGAGTGAAAGCAAGATATAATGAGTGAATGAGTGAACGAACGAAGAAAGTATAGGGAAAATCGTATGTTCTTCGGGTGAGGAATATTGCGAATTTAAATTATTGTTTTTAATCCGAACGAATCATTTATTCATTCGGTTAGTTTTGAAACGTACGGGCCATTAATCGCATGAAGCGAAACTTTTTTCTTCGGGGAACCCTTGGTATTACCATGGACCTTTATAATATTTTGGGGTCTTAATCTTCATGGCTTTCCCCTTAAAGCACGTACAAAAAGAACTTAGAGATCTATGATTGTCAGGCCCACACTGTTCTAAAATAAATTCAATTCGAATCTTCACGAAGGCAAGATCTCCCGGAATAAAAGATGAGACAATAGTTACTTGAAGCAAATGCGGGAAACTTTGCTCCGCGGCGTGAAATCATGTCTGAAAATGAATCATCAGGATTTTCATTGCACCAAGGGCAGCATAATATAAATTTATCGTAGCACAGTTTAATTCCTTTATTTTCGTTTTCAGCAAAATACAATAACTTCTGATGCACATAAATTGCGTTGTGTTAACATTTTGGTTTCCACACCCGCAGTACGCGAAGAGAAAATTACGGCGATATTTTCACCAGGAAATTTTCCCGATTCAAAGAAAATACTGCTTGTAAGCTTTCGATCGTTTAAATCGAAATTCGAACGTATACGGTACTTCTAAATAGTATGCTCGAGAAAGCATCTTAACATCCTTCATTCTGAACCTCCAGTACTGTACTGTAAACATCATCTTGCCTACATAACCTTCCTGTTTAATGAGAGGACTTTCTGAAAGAAATTCCTTATAGAAAACTGAACGAACAAAAAAATGAATAGAAAATCAAAAGAATAGATCAATATAAAGCCAGAAAACAATGATTCAGGGCAAACGTTAATCCACGAATGAAGTAAGCGAGATTTTTTTGGAATTAATAAAAAGCCAGTGTTCATGAAAATATGCTTTGAAGTCGATCGGGCAAAAAAAAGCAACTTCGAATGAACGGATCGAACTAATAAAAGCTTTAAAAAAGCCAATGCACTTTGTGTACATTTCTCATTAATCCTCAAATGAAAAAAAAACACCGGGGGGAAATAAATCGTGAGATTACCGCATTTACTCGAATAAGTGACAAAATTTTCCCAATAAAAGGGGTTACCATTGGGTTTGCCCTATGTGTAACCCCATAATAAATAATAAAAGAAGCGACGAATTTGTCCAATTCTGAAAAAAATAATTAAATGCAAGAGCACATTGAATTTGCAGGTAAATTTTTTTTTATTTGGAAAAATATACGTGCGTCTAATCCAATACACATACGACACACGAATGCCAAAACGTTGGTAAAATAAATATCACGTTCGTTCATGCGGGATTTTGAATCAACCTTTCGAGTTTGTCAGCATATAATCACGTTCTGGTCAGTTCCCGAATTCTACGATTTTCGTGGTAAAAACGTACTAGAAAAACATCAAGAAACAGTGTGGCGTATTAGTAGCACAAGTTAATGACTAGATTCGAAGGGTCGATGATTCTGCATTGATTGATTCAAATCTACCTCCCCCACTCCGAAAAACCTTGGAAATTATTTAAAATTCTCTGAAACTCCTTTCAATTTCCCATGTTCAGGGATTAACAGATTCTTCATCAGCACAAACAAAGCACGACTGGAAATATTCAAAAATACCATTGATACCGTTAATCCAGGATAATATGAAATATTCCAGAAATTTAATTCAGGTTGCGAAAGGCCATTTAATGAACATATCAGTCCATGAAAGAATTCATAGTCCTTCGAAAATTACTCCGTATACAGTAATTTCATGCATCATAAGTCTACTAAGAAAATCCCACTAAAAGCACCTTGCCTTTTTTTAAAAGCTTATGCTTTCTTAACGTAAGAAGCGTGTTCTTTTTATCACAAGTCATTCAATGCGTATAGAACCTATTTAAATATGACATGATCAAAAAATTTACACAATCACAGCTCAGTATTTTCGTTAAGTGCCAGAAAAATCATTTAATTTTCAATGCAATACTTCAGGTATATTTTTAATTTTTTCACCTCAATCTTCGATGTAACTGTAATTACCAGTTGTTATGGAACACCCTACATGTAAAACTCACAAGGCAAAAAATACAGCATGGATTCTCGAAAATAATTTCTGTCAACATTGAAATACTGTACATCGTTCGCTACGGTTGAGCCAAAGTTCAGAAAGACTCTTCATACACACTTGTCTGAATCGATGTCAACAATATCACAAGGAAACTTGAACTGTGTATACTGTATTGCATAAATCATCACGCACCCTTAACATAATTCAATCCGTCCAGAATAATGAGACGGTCTCTTGAAATGAGTCTCAACACCTCCGCCTTTACTTTCCCTCGAAGTTCCCGTTCGGCTTTGGAGTCCAAGTTATGATTCTTTTAGGGTGATTTTCGTGGAACGGAAAAAAATTTTCGAATACGAAAGAATTGCATTCTTCGCACAAGAAAAATAGTGTTCAGTAAGTTACGCATATCTTGGATAAATTTATACTGTACTGTACTTTAAAAAATTTCCACAATCACAGCTCAGTATTCTCGTGAAGTGCCAGAAAAATCATTCAATTTTCAATGCAATACTTCAGGGATATTTTTCATTTTTTCACCTCAATCTTCGATGTAACTGTAATTACTATTTATGTTGTGGAACACCCTACATGTAAAACTCACTAGGCAAAAAATACAGCATGGATTCTCGAAAATAATTTCTGTCAACATTGAAATACTGTACATCGTTCGCTACGGTTGAGCCAAAAGTTCAGAAAAACTCTTCATAAACACTTGTCTAAATCGATGTCAACATGTCACAAGGAAACTTGAACTATGTATACTGTATTGTATAAATCATCACGCACCCTTAACATAATTCAATCCGTCCAGAATAATGAGACGGTCTCTTGAAATGAGTCTCAACACCTCCGCCTTTACTTTCCCTCGAAGTTCCCGTTCGGCTTTGGAGTCCAAGTAAACCCTCATGCCTTTTCGCATTTTGTCCAACACAAAATCACTTTCTCGCACCACATCGACCGAGACACACACGACTTCTTCGAAAAACTTGGTCAAACGATCAACAGCATCCGCTTTTCCCAAGGATGGCAATCCAGTGAATACCACCAACGGCATGATTCTGAAAGACAAGAATTGCAAGAAAAGGCAATTGCGACGCAAAATGAATTGGAAACTTAAAATTGCAATGAATAGAAAATGCAGAACACAGTTCTCGGCTTTTTCTTCGCTCTTTGCGTCATATCAAAGCAACATTTTTGCGAGAACACTCCACGGAAAAAAAAAAAAAAACCAACGCACGAGAGCAAAATGCGATGGGCCCCCAGAACGGGTTCGCATTGGGTTTCTTTAACCGTGAACTGAACTTATCTGTTGGAACAAATAAAAGGATAGCTTCACATGCATAAAGCAGTGCATCAATCGTTTGTATCAAAAAATTCTTACCAGACAAGATGATGCATTCGTACTCAATGAGAACATTCATCATTCGAAATCTCAAGTACAAATTTTGTCACCCAGGGCTACGGATGTGCAAGACATAAATGAAAAGATGAATTTGAATTTAGACAGGGGGAATTAAATTTCCTGAGACATCGACGTGGACATGTTCAAAACATACGAGGGTTTATCTCGAAAAATCTCGCGAGCCGCTTACAAATCATCATCGCAGTTGGATGAAACAAATCTTTTCCTACACAAAAATTGAAACTTCGATTCAACAAAATTTTCGTATCTATTTTTCTGAAAATGAAAAATAATTTATTACTGTACTGCACTTGAAAATTTATGGGCATCTCAACAATATCCTATACTGCATTCATTATAAGAAGTGATGGCGCTAATATTATACGACTTACTGAAAAGTTCTTCAGTCAAACCATGAGGAAACATCAAAAATGTACACACTAAAAAGTTTGGCTCGGTGGTTCTTGAAACTTTTCGGGAGAAAATTATAATTTCAATGATTTTAATGATGCACAATTCCATAAAGTTGAAAATTTCCGCCAACGGCAGGATGGGAAAAATACAGTACTCTAAACTAAAAACAGAATTATTCTCTTATTTCTCTCATAATTCCCATAGGCATAATTAGTCATCAACTTTATATCATCTTCAGCGATTTTTAATGGGGAAAAAATTTGTTCAAAACATCGAACAAAAACGGTGCCCGAGGTTGCATCCACCAGCGATGAAAATTTGTCAGCGATTTTCGAGACGTTTGAGATATCCCTCGTAAGATACACAATCCCGAGAAAAAGGCACCTGCAGAAACACATTGCATGTAGGTCGACATCAATCACCTACGTCAAACGATTACCACGCTCTGATTTCATCGTCACTTGAAAAGATGAAGAGTCACAACAGAGATCAAAAAGTGATCCATATAGAACCCTCACTCTCAGCAAACCTCATTCTGAACATCACTATCCGACCCAGCTTTCATATCTACATTGATCCTTCTACAAATCTACAACAGTTCCTGGAATAGCCGCCGCCGTTTGATCAAGGACAACTTTGGCATGAATTTCTTCCAGGGAAGTTCCCGTGTGCTCTAGTTCCCCATTGAGCGCGGTCTGGTTAACTGTTGTCGGCTCCGAGGTTGAATCCACGCCATTCACGTCGGTGAGATCAGGCTCGATCGCGTTCAACTCAGAACCATTGAGGATCCGATCCTCGGAGGAATCTACGCTGGTTTTCGAACAGTCATTCGATGAACTCGAAACTTCGGAGGTCGGCGACAACGAAGCGGTCTCATTGCTCGGCTCGGTCATTTCCACGTTTTCTGTATCCTCCTTTAGGACGGACGCAGTGTCATCCACAACGATCACCACGGGTTGCAAATCGCAAGCAGGGTCCATCTCCACGTCTATTTTCTCCTCCTCTTCGGCATCACCTTCGTCTTCTTCCTCTTCTTCGTCCGATGACGAGTTTAGTGAATTCGTTATGGGCTTTGAATCCATGATTCCATTCACATTCGTCTCCAAAGACACCCTGATAGGAAAAAAAAAAAATTTTTATTGGCATACACACACACGCACGCGTAAAATTTATTCTACTCACGGTTTCCCAAAACAGTCCACGCTGCTTATGACAAGAAAATTTTTTTCTAAGGCCCTCATATATTTGTCAAGGCGCTTATGGTGTTTCGTAGGTTCCGTCAGCAACTCGCAGATTCTCTGGATTGTGAACGGCGGTCCCCTGTGAAAGAAAACATCAGAAATATTAGTGGGAAGTTATTGTCGGAAACAAAGTATTCGACGTTTTCCAAACGAAATGAGACGCAGAATTCAAAATTTCACCAAATGATTTTATCAAATGAAGATATTCGAAAGTAATACTGTATGCGGGACGAAAAAAAAAGTATAACTCCAGACATTTCAAAAGAACAATATTTCAACATTTTTCCGGCGAAGAGGAATTTAAATCAAAATCGGACCTAAAAACTGAGAACTAATAATGCAAATGATGAATAATTTTCCAGCATACTTATGCTTAATGTATCACACTAAAATTGCTTCGTCATGCTACAATGCCCACAAGGTCGATTTCGAGGGAAGAAAATCGAATAGAGAATTCATTCGAAATTCGTTACGGCAAATAAATTTTCAAATGATGTACAGTACAGACATATAAAAATGGTTTTTTAAATTTACTCATGACAAAAAAAATTCAAAGGCACTGTGAAGCAAATGGAAGTGCGCGTCTTAAATTTCGAACAATTTTATTTTTTGCTTGATTGGCTCAGCCTAAATGTAGGTCTCAAATGCGATAGCGTCTTCCATGCAGTTTGATATGGCAAACAATTATTTGAAACCGCACTCACCTCGTGTAAGATGCTAATCTTTCAAGCAGGAAGCTTTTCAATGCGGCGAAGTTAAACCGCTCAACATTTGGACAGCGAGGTATTTCATCTATTGGAGAAATTTGAAGAAATTCTTCGACGACGGATTCAATTTTAACTTTCAGCAAATGACGTAGCAGCTCCCATGAATACTCTGTATCACCAGTCACGGCAATATGATGCAGGTATGCGTTCAGGAGCGGAGGAATGAGAGATACGTTCTTGGTTTTCAGAACTGAAAAACAACCATGATCATATGACACTCGGATAATTCCAACACAAACACCAACCCTCAAGCTCCTTCAAAGTTCCTTCAGCATCGTCAAGTTCCAACCATTCCGAAGACACCGTTCTTTCTTTGTCCGCCATAACCGACCGTACGTGACGACAATCTCAAACCACAGTAGAGTTCTTCGAAGGCAGATAAAGCAGCGTCCTGTTCTCCGATGTCATCAAGAGAAGAGCATTATGTTCACGTCTCTACCACATGTGACAACAAGACAGACCTGGGAAAAATCAGCTAAAACGATAATACAAACGGCACACTCGTCACTAGAACTTATCGCACTCTACATTACAACTTGAAGCGACGAAGATCGCAAAAATGAGCGCCACAAGAGCTTAATGACTCAGAACCGAATAAAGCATACAATGTTAAACAACCGCGCAAGATAGCTCGATAAAAACGCGTGATATTCAACTGAAAACCTGGACAAGAAATGGCACACAAAATCCGGACACTATCATCCGTAGGCGTATATAGGAATTACAAATACAGTAGATGGCGAATACAGACGGTAAGTTTTCAATAATCGTTAATTCTCAAACGCATCAGTCACTACTTGTATACACACTTTTTGTTTTCATCGGAAGTTGCGACAAAGCAAAATCATTCAAACTATAAGTGGAAATTTCCACTTGATGCCAACTGATTCCGCTCACGACAAACTCTTCGCTAAGTTTCTGGGGATCTTTTAAGGCGATCTTCACGAAAATTATCTCATCACGAGGCAAATGCAAGAAGTGAATTTCACAGTCAACATGTCCAACGTTTCCCTCGCCTCTCCAAACAAAGCACTTACTCCGCACAATGCATCAAAACTGAAATATTAGAGCACAGCACGGAGCCATATTGCGAGCTCGACAAAGAGCGCCTGCTACTTTCGAGTCTCAGCTTGAGATGACCTTGCGGAATTACTGTGTATTGAGCAACAATGAATGGAAAGTGAACTGCTGATGTTTACGACAGAAACCATGAAAACACAAAATTCTCCCTGCACAACAATACAGTACTATATCTGAAGCACAGCTGTGGGTTTGCGCATAATATACTGTACTTATTCCACCGCGTGAACTCTTCCTATGCAAAAGTATTGTACAATACTGTACAGTGGGCCCCCGACTTACGACGGGCCCATGTTACGTCAGTTTCAACTTACGACGCTTTTTTAAATATAAAAAACCCCCAACTTACGTCGGGGTTTCATGATACGACAGCTTCTGAGGTTTTTCAGCTCCCTCCCACCAACCATTTTTTTGGCGCCATGCATGCTCCAAAGGTTTTCCTGGGAGGAAGTGAGTTTTTTTTGTGCCAAGGTTCATTCCTAGCCAGATTAAACTGTCAATAGTGTGAGATGGTGCCATGCACAGGAAATAAATTGTCCTTAAGTTTGGAAATTGCTGTGATCAGAGCATTTTTTTTAATTTTGTGTGTGCTGTACAGTTCATTTCATTATTGCTGAATAATTGTGTTTAGGAGGGATTTTGAATTTTGTGTGTTCTGTACTGCCCTGTGCATTTAATTATAGCTGAATAATTTTGTTTAGGAGGAATTTAAGCTTAGGAGGAATTAAAAAGTTGAAATATACAGGTAATTTCAGTTTGATATCTTTTTTCTGGAACGAATTAATTTTTTTATAATGTAATCTTAAGGGAAATAGGGTTTCAACCTACGACGGCCCCATGTTATGACGTCCATCCTGGAACGGATTGATGACGTAAGATGGGGGCCCACTGTACAGTTAAACCAAAACATTAATTCCCTGCTCGTACATTATGCTAAAGTTGAAAAACAATGTTTCGTCCATTCATTTAATATCAGCAGACACTCATGGGAAATCGGCCGGTTACAAGTGTAAAATCTATAATTTCAACATTTTTGGCATAGAATCAAATTTTATTCTGTAATCCTGAAATTGTTAAGCTTTTCATTGATCAACTTATTATTATTGATTTATAGGAGCGGCTATTTAACAGATGGACTCTCTTGACAACAATTAATCTTCTCTTAAACAATATCAATATTCTCTGTATAAAGAATGTTCTTGTGGTCTCATCATTGTGTCCTCTTGTCTCCCTATTGTTTTATGGGCTCTCTACAATTATAGTCTTTTCTCTACAGAATTTTTTTTCTTGGTCCAGCCTTGATGCATTTTGTTGTAGATGAGTCCACAGATCTACAGAGGTTAAGGCTGAAGTTTACTTTTCTTTTATCTTTTATAATGTTTCCTAAGTCCAAAGAAAACAGCATGCCAAAGTGCAAACTCAAAGTTGGGTAATTCCATACATTATTTTTGGACAGAAAATGTTGTACAAGAAAAAATTTGCACATATTGAGTCACTCAGTTGCATTCCCCCCTCCCACAAAGAATGTGGTCTTCTCAATCTTGTTATCTTGTTGAACCTTATATGTTTGTATTTTTTCAAGCAGGGGGCCTATTGTTTACTCCTTTAAAAAGTGTTTCCAAATTTCTCTTCTTGAAATTTCAAGTGTCAGTGCGGCATGCAGCTCAAGAAATGTTTTTGTGATTTTTTTTTTTAATTTCACTTTCTCAAGTCCTTTGATAAAAACTGTCAAAGTTTAGATATCATACATTAAATTGAAGAGGTAGAGCATATGCTGAAATAGTGCCACAAAACAAAATGTATTGTCAGATTGTTAAAAGAAAAACTACATAAAAATGTGTTGATCATAAAAATTTATAACTTTGCTTTTGAACTTGGATGAAAACACATGCAGAATAATCCCCACACACCATATCACATAAACTGATTGATTAATTCCTTGGATTCTTCAATCTTCACTTATTCATCTTTATCTCTTCTCATTGTCTTTTTTTAAGGGATGAACAGCAGCATATAAACAGTTTTTTCTTCTATCATGTAATTCATGTACAAGTATATCATTTCATGATTTTTCATTGGTTGTTGAGAGGAAAATTGAAGACCAGAAACAGTGTACGGTACATGTCTAGCATAGCTTAATAATCAAGAAGAAGAAAGTGAAGGCGCTGAAAACCTTTAATTTTGCCGGGTCGTCTGGAGAATTCATTATAGTGGGATCTCAATTAACAATAAGTTCACACGTACTCATGCTGCGCAACTCCCCGACAATTTCACCGCAATATAAATAGAATCAATCAATGCGATCTTTGGCCGACAGAACACTCCTGTTTATTTCATCCAATTGAAAACACTCATCGTTGCATATATAATAGCTGTGATTGTCAAATGCAATTTTGGTTTCGCGCGGAATCGGTTCATATTACAGCAAGAGGGGACAGCATAATTCTCCAGAGCCACCACCATTGGCATCCGGACAGATTCCCAAGGGATCAGGAACCAGACTTGTACCACAGGTTTCCCGGCAAAGCCCACCACGAATTCCACACGGCAGCTTCTTGTTTGGAACTGTTGGAAAAATCGAAGAGACAAAAATATTTATACAGTACAGTATATACAAAATACATAAAACATAGAAAAACCTTTGTACCTGTCTTGGTATTACTAATTTTGTCCATCTTCATTTTCCTGAGCTCATAAAAAAGACGTTTGGAAAAAGGAAAATCCCGGTATTTTTTGATACAGTGGAAAGTGCTGGGTGGTGAGCATATTATTATTAGGCAGGGATAAAGAAATAAAATAAAATTTGGTCCCAAAAACCTTTGAGCCTGTCTTAATATTACTGATGTTGTCTATCTTCCTCTTCCAGAAGAGAGAAACATTTTTTGGAATTTAAAAAAATAAAATTTAGGGTGCGCATCATCTCATTATGTGGGATTGCTTTCCCCCAAAAAGTTGTCTCAAAATATTTTGGGCCTGCCTTGATTTTTTACATTTTGCCCTTCTTATTATTACTGAGCTCCTTAAACATTTATCTAAAAAAAGAAGAATTTTGGACTTTTTCCATAAAAAATGGGGTGCGCGTTATATTATACGTTGGGCATTGGATTTTGCTAAAATTTTGTCTCAGCATATTTTGGCCTGTCTTAATCTTTTAATCTCCCTAATCTTCCTATTCAAGAGCTCATAAAAATTGATTTTTATAAGGAAATATTATGAAATTTTTCATTAAATTTGGGGTGTGCATATTATATTTCTGTACAGGCAAAACTCAATAACTCAAACCTCTCTATATTGAATACCCCCCTCAGTAAAAATTTTTTCAGATCCCCATCTGAATCCCCTTAGAAATAATGCTATAAAACCTCCCTAAGTCAAAGGTTTTCCCCTCAAACCTCTGTAAGTCAAATTTTCTGTTGCCTGTTGGCTATGATTTTCTTTACACAAGAAAGAAAAAAAAACAATGAAAACAGAAATTGATGTGTTTCAAAAGGAAGTGAAAGACTTGATTGGGCAAAGGAACCTTGCCTACAAGTTCAGCATCCTTTCAACTTCATTTAAGAAGCAATTTAAGTCCCAGAATACCAACACCATTTACAATTTTTGGCAATTTCTCCATGTTTCCAAAAACAAAAGAACTTTGTATTTTAGCTCAAACCTCTATAATTTAAAACCTCCTTAAGTTGAAACCTCCCAAAGTCGAATTTTTTCGCTGGTCCCTTGAAATTCGACTTGGAAGGGGTCCAACTCTATATGGGAGGATCCGTTTTTTTTTTTAAACCAAAATTTTGCATAAAAAAGCGCGTTGCCTTTCTTTAAAGGAGTGGTATACATACTCGGGTCTATACAAAAGGTACTGCATACGATACAGTACTTGTTTTTTTTTAAATAAATATTCTTAAATCACACTTAATCACACTCACGTCCGAAGCAGCAAGCAGCGCCCTTGTCCTTCTGGGCAGGGCACAAGTACACCTTTTTCTCAGGTTTATCCGCCAACATGTCCGACGGACAAAACTCGGCTTCCACACACAGTCCGCCCTGTTGAGAACATCCCCTTTCATTCTTGAAGGGACTAAGAACAGCTGCATTGCCTCGCTTTTCTTCCACCACGGCTTCATATTTGTCATTCGTGTCTTCCAAGGTCAGCGGCGCTTTTCTTGCTCTTCCCTCTTGTCCCAAATCCGCAAAAACCACTGCGAGATAAATGAATAATGCCATATATACAGTGAGTACAGTGGCCCCCAGCCTAACAGACCTCCCGTCTAAGGGATTTTCGCCAAACAGACCAGCTCTAAACAGGCAGTTTTTCCTCCTGCCCAACAGACAAAATCCACCAAACAGACTTCTTTTGGTTTAAAATTAGTGTTAAAAATTGTAATTTTTAATTTTTTATACAATTGAATTTGTGTAAAGGACTTTTTGTCCAACAGACTTGCCCGTTGCACAAATCAAGTCCATTAGACGGGGGTTGACTGTATATACCCCCAGATGTGGACATAATTGGTGCATCAAGTCAAGAGTGTTCCTGAGTTGAAATGTCCCTCAGTTGAGTCTCATTTTCCCACAGACTTACGCTATATAATTTGTATTATACTGTATATCTCTTTGTGACTTGAATTTTAGTTTTACAGATGCCAACATTTCAATGTACTGTAATGTATTTTACTGTACAGATCAAGGTACAGTATTCAATGCCCCAAATGTTCTTATTGAGTTGAAAGATATTTACTGAATCAAATTTCAATTGGCAGACAATTTTTTCTTCATGGGATTCTGATGAATATTTCTTCCATAAAACACCAATTAAAAATTATGTAATGAAATTCTATGGGAAAACTAGACTCAACTTAAGGACATTTTGATTAGGGATACTCTTGATGCACCATGAATATTTCTTCCATAAAACACCGATTAAAAATTATATAATGTAAGTCTACGAGAAAACTAGACTCAATTTAAGGACATTTTGACTTAGGGACACTCTTGTTGCACCAATTATGTCCGCATCTTGGGGTTTCACTGTATATAGCATTTGTGAAAATTAGAAAAATAAAGTTTAAATCAATAAACTTCAGTGTATTCACTTTTCCCTGAAAAATTAAATATTCTGGAACATTACACAGATCATGATGAACTTTAAAAATGTCATTTCACAAGAACAAAAAAAATAGAAAATAAATCCCCGCTGGACTAAATAATGCTTCTTCAAATATAGTATTTAAAAAACTGAAAAAAATCATCTTTTAAAACGCAGAACACAAGTTTCTCTGCATGAATTCACGGGTTTCCTGTAAACAAGCAGTGGGCTGAAATAAACTTTTAAATGTTATTCATGATCCACAAGAATGTAAAACATATACTCACTTATTTTCCAGCACACTGAGGCAGAGAAGACAAACACCAACAATCCCTTCATTATCTCAAAAACGTTTGGTTCACGCAGCAAAAAAGAAGACTGAAATTGTTTCTGACTGATGAAAAGCATCAAGAAACATAATTTTGAAATTTTCAACAATCATTGATCACACACTCAGAAAAAATTGGCACAAGTACACAAAATATTTTGCTGTACAGAATATTGCAAGACCCTTTTTGCGGAAACCGACCGACTTCGTAATGCATAGAGGAAATACGAGAGGTTACACGTTTCCGCGCGGACTCTTTTCGCCGCGGAATTTAAATGATCTGTACACCAAGAATAAAAAAAAAAAGAATTTCTCATGTTGACTATAGTCCCAAGAGCTCAATTTTTTTTTACAACCACCAGTTTGTAAACACTTGTCAGCCCTTTCGATCCATGTGTTGAAAAAACAAGCCTTGAAATGCTCAGTTTTTAAATTATGCTGAAGCTTCTCAGAACAGCAGCAATAAAAAGATGATCCGCGTGGAACCGTGTAACCCCTCATATTCAGAGTTTCAGACTAATGAACATCAGGTATATGAATTATTACCTCTTTAAAAAAAAACCTTCGTCATTTAAATATTTGAACCGCAAACAAACATCGAGTTCAGTTTGAGAAGTATTTAAAGTGTTAGTTATTTGATTTTGGGCATTAAAATTGACAGAAGGTAGACAATAAAAAACAAAAACAATCTCTGCACAAGAGCACAGGCATTTTGTGGATTTTTAAAAGTGTATTTTCCAGCAGCAATAAATTGTCAAATCATAATTCGATTTGTAGATTATATGAAATTTAAGTAATCCTGACAACTTCTTGTTCTCAACTTTCTAAATTTCATACATTTTAAAGGATAGAAGATGCAAAGCTAAACCATATTCCTTTCTAATTATTCTAATTGTTTTTTTTTAAAGAATGTGAAATTGAAGTCATACGGACTTTTTGTTCTTAATTTTCGAATTTCAAACATTTTAAAGAATAATATATGCAAAACTTCAGTATACATGTTTTGTTTCTCATTTCGCTGATTTTTTTAGTATAAAGAATATGAAACTGAAGTAATCCTGAATTTTTGTTCTTAATTTTCTGAATGTAACAAATTTCAAAGACTGGAAGAAGAAGAAGTACATTCTACTATTTTAAAAGTCTCCCATTTTTTTTAGTACAGAATATGAAACAGAAGTAATACTGAATTTTTGTTCTTCATTTTCTGTATTTCAGAAATTGTATGGACTAAGAGAGGCAAAACTTCCAAATATTCTTTTCTAATTTCCCTGTCCTTTTTTCAGCATATAGCATAATACATTGAATAGATCCTGACTTTTTGTTCTTAATTTTCGAATTTCACAAATTTGAAAAAATAAAAATGCCAAACTTTAGCAAATTTTTTTCTCTCATTTCCCTAAACTGTATTTTAGTACAGAATATGAAACTGGAGCAATCCTGACTTTTTGTTCTTAATTTTATGTATTTCACAAATTTTAAGGGCTAAAAGATGCAAAACTTCAAAATATTCTTTTATAATTTACCTATTCTATTTTTTGGTATGAAACAATAAATTGAATTAATTCTGATTTTTTGTTCACAACTTGTTGAATTGAAGATTTTTTAAAGACTATATACAGAAGACCATAAACTTCACCTTTATTTTCCAAATTCGAAACCCCCTACATTTTTGGAAGAAATTATAAAATACTGTATAAATTTGATCAAATTAAAGCCTTTTTTTCAGGCCGAAAAATTTTCGTCAAGTGGATTCCGTCAAGCGAGTCGCTTCTTTCCCTTTCTACAGTATATCAAAAATTGTCGTTATATGCGAAAATTCACTGTAAATCGCCGCATGATGCAGACTCGAAACACTTGCGGCCACTACGCAACAGCATGCGAGAAGAACTGTCCCATCACCAACTGCGCCTTCTTTTATATACTTTCTGTAAACAGTATTGTATACATAGATGCGAGGGTTGTTTCAAAAGTCTTGCGACTATTTCAAATAGACCCAACACGGTTTGGTCAATTAAATTTTGTTTTTGTCTACTAACATAACCTCGTTTCGTACGTGGAAACACTTCAGTGCTGTTCAACATACTCTCCGCCAATTTTATTGCACTTTTTCATGGGATAAATCCAACAATCAAAACGGTGGCGCCAGGAACATTTCAGTCTAAACTTGATTTTCGCCATCACTGTTCTGATAGTTGTATTTATTGTGTGAAAAAGTGCACAGAAATTTGCAGAGCTATTATGTTTTTTTAATTGACCAAACTGTTGTGTTTGAAATACAGTTGAGTTTCTCCAAGTCAAATTTCAAGGGACCATAAAAAATTTTGACTTAGGGAGGTTTTGACTTGAGGAGGTTTCAAATTTTACAGGTTTGAGCTACAATACAAAGCTCTTTTGGTTCTTGGAAAAAAGATAAATTGCCAAAAATTGTAAATTGTGCTGGTATTCTGGGACTTAAATTGCTTCTTACATGAGTTGAAAGGTTGCTGAACTTGTAGGCAAGGGTTCCTTTGCCCAATTGAATCTTTCACTTTCTTTTTGAAACACATCAATTTCTGTTTTTTTTTCTTGTGTAAAAAAATAATTGCCAACAGGCCACAGAAAATTTGACTTACAGAGGTTTGAGGGGGAAATCCTTTGACTTAGTGAGGTTTTTAATATGTATTATTTCTAAGGGGATTCAGATGGGGATCTGAAAAAAATTTAACTTAGAGGGGTATTTGACTTAGGGAGGTTCAAGTTATCCAGATTAACCTGTATTTGAAATAGTCACAAAACTTATGAAACAACCCTCGTGTATATAAAGCTCGGTAAGACAGGTGCGATGGGTGCCGCAGGTGGGCCTTCCCCGGCCCATGAATTTGACCTCGCGTTGGTCAAACCATACACAAAGCAACAGCCTCTGTCCTTTTTATTTCCCTGCCGGCGGCTCTCTTACATAGTAAAATATTTCTCTAATTTCTGAACACCAACGAGAAGATGCTGAAAAATCGCCCAGAAGTTGCAAACAGCTTTACAGTACAAAAGAGCTTTCTTGTGATGTACAGTACAGTCAAACCCCGTTAAGACAACCATCAATTTAAGAAAAAAAAAGTAAATCTTCCCTAATGATAATAGCAATATAGAAACCCAGTTAAAAGGCCATCAGCAACATTATTGAAAACTCAAATATGCTCCTGCCAATTTATTTTGTCTTCAATCACCCCCTGGCAGCACAATTCAATGTTTCTGGGAAAGGTCTCTAGAAAAACCCCCACATGTGGACAACTCAACATGTGGACATTGCATGATAAAATTTCCAAAAAATTGAAGTAAATTTGACTTTTATTAGGCTTAATTGCAAGAAACAGGTATTTCCAACCCTAAGATCTATGCAAGAAAAAGCTTTTGGTATTTCTATCCCATCCTTTTCCCATCCATCCAGCTAATTTGAAAAAAATTTCCTATAGCATAGAGGGACTTCCTTTCTCTCTTTGCAAATTGAATGTTATTTTTACTGATGCCAACATTTCAATTCTTTGCACAGAGGTACACTATTCAATGCTCCAAATGTTCTTATCGAGTTGAAAATATATTCACTGAATCAAATTCAAGCGGCAAAATTTTTTCCATGAAATTCTGAATAATATTCCTTGCATAAAACAACAATTAAAATTTATATAATTTAGGACTATGGGAAAATGAGACTCAACTTAGGGACATTTTGACTTAGGGACAATCTAGATGCACCAATTATGTCTGCATCTGGGGTCTCACTGTAAATAAATAAAAAACAAACACAAACATGACATAAATTATACTTCTTCATAAAATCAGCTAGATAATATTTACTCATCCCAGGATTATATTGATTCTTTGATTGAAAAATAAATATTTTTGAAGAAATTACAAAATTTTTAATACAGTATCATCAAATTTGAGGCTTCATTTCCTATTACACTTGAATTTTTATAACATTGTCACTCTTTCACTGTTCCACAGTACCAATAAAAAAATGGTCCTTCAACAAGAAAACACACACACAAAAGCAGATGAATCGACGTTTTGCATAAGTTATTTTTCGATTTTATTTTCGAACAGGATGCAGCATGGGAATAACCCATGACATAATCTTCAGAATGGAATACTCTACGCACAAGGTTATTGTTTTGTTTTGTTTTGGAAATTCCCTGGAGTTGCTCAGAAATTAACAAGATTCTATATTCAATAACAGGATATTCAAAACCATTTTCCTCCGAAACCTTGGGTTCTTGAAACCAATTCAATTCTCTTTCCAGTCCACGGAGTAAAAAGTAAGACGAGCCTTTGAACACAATAAAAATATAACTCAAGCAGAGATCCGATTTTTTTTAAACTTTCAACAAGGAAAAAAATGACTCATCATGATGGCTTACCAACTTTCTGCGACGAAGTATAATGCAAAAAAAAAATGATCGAACATTTCGAGAAAAAAGGTTTATTAAAACGGGTTTAAAAATCTCTGAAATGCGACAAAGTGGTTAAAAGAATAATATTTAGCGACAGCAGCGTATATTAATTTGGAACAATGAACTTTTAAACATTCCTAAAAATATAATCACTGGTTTCGGGACGTACTTAAATTAAATTGACTTGTTATTTTCATAATATAATATTTTTGGCATTTCCCAAAAACGCTTCTGAACATACGCGTAAAATCTGTGAATATTTTGCAAAGCTGAATTCAGCAATTCATGAGCACTTCCAAGATATAAGGAAAAATGCATTTTATTGGTTTTCTTGTAGAAAGAAAGTAAAAAAATATTATAAATATTTGAAGACTTGTTCGCAAAAATAACTGCTTAAAAACTCAAGTAATTTTCAGTTGATTTTATCATTCGCGACAAACTTCGAGGGAAATTTCGAAAGCCTTTCGTAATCTGCGATGATCACACAATGGAATATAAAAAAAACAAGCAATTCCAAAAGTCTCGATTCGTTTCTCACAATTTCAGCACAACATGCGCAAATTTTTCTCGATTTAAAAAAATGTAAAATTGACAACGCGTAAAATTGAATTTATAATTTAACTTTGGAAGTTTAGATTAAATTTTATTTCACACGCTGAGTGGAACTTGTGTTTCCTTGTCTGTCGAATTTTCTGTCAAAATGCAAACAAAAAAAATGCACGATCACCCCGATAATGCAAAAATTCCTGGCAAAAATTTGCCCGATTTGCGCAGTTCTTTGGCTTGGGAAAATCATGCATGAACTATAGAATATATACCATTGGTTGGAGCTGTGAGCTCAGACACGTGGGTGAAGAAACACAAGCCGCTGCTTATCACATGCGAAAGTGTAAATATTTGGTACAAATACTGTACCACGAAGTACAAGTTCATGCATTCTTATTCGAATATACATACACAAATATACATTGTACAGTATATGCACTCTGGTCTGAGTTCAAACATGAGGAACTGCGCAATTCGCTTCTTCTTCGCATATCTTCAACTTGTTACCAATGAAAGTTACAGTTCCATCTTGAAATCTCGCAAGTTGAATGAGAGCCAGTGTTTTTCTTGGGTCTAGAAATAATATATTTCACTTACTTATAAGTATCATAGGTATTAATTTTGATTTTATTTCATGTACAGTACAGTACTTATTGTTTCAATGAAAAAAAAAACTTCCTTGAGTCATGTTGAAAAAAATTTCCTTTTTTATTTAAGGACAGTACAGATGAACCTCTATAAGTCGAATTTCTAGGGACCAGGAAAAAAATTCGACTTAAGGAGGTTTTGATTTTTGGAGGTTTATATTTGAGAAACAAACACACTTTTTTCGTGAGGAGAAGTGAAAAAAGTGGGGGAAATCATGAATGAGGATATTCTGGGCCAAAACTAACTTCTTAATGAGTTTACCCCTTTCTGAACTTGGAGGCAGGGGTTCAGTTGCTATTTTTGTCTTTCAATTCCTTTCAAGATGCATCAAATTACAGTATTTGTTTTAATCATTTTCTCTTTTATATTTCAAGGAAATAATAACCAGAAGGCCTCAGAAAATTTGACTTATAGAGGTTTTAGAGAAAAAATTCCTTTTTTTTCCAAGCACAAAGATAGAGCAATTAATCTTGAAATCTACTGTTTCCGATCTTGAAATCTGCGGAAAAATTCGAGCTATGACAATCATGATATAAACTGTTTGAATCATAAGGAATTATTCAAACCATTCAGGAGATATTGAAAAAAAAGTGAACTCCGTCAAAAATGTGTTTTTGTATAAATGCGAAAACTTGAACAAGTGCTGCTGTGAAATATTCAAATGCAAAATAAAAAATATACTGCATTTGAATGCGTCTAAATATTGACTATACAATAAATCGAATATTGATCAGCACCTGCTTTTTTATAGCCATCTTCTCTGTAAAATGATGCGGCGTATATTCTAGCACATATACGGGCCACGTCAAGTTTAACAAACCCATAAAACCACATTGAACATATGCTCTGTATTGTTTTTTTTTTTTCAAGCCCGAAGAAGAATTTTCCATGCATAAATAACTCATTAATAACCAAGCATCACCGGCATATCTTGTATGTGACAAGCTTCCATCACCAGCTTGCGACGATCGGCAAAATTCATAATCCACGCATATACAGTAGATGCATTAATATACGGGCGAGTAATTAAATGTAACACGAAACTAACGTGGACAGGTTGTTCATCCCTTAATCACCTGCTTCCGGCACCAATTAAAACATTGTACGCCGCACTTCACTCAAAAACACACACACACTTCCTGTTTTGATGGAAGGAAGACGGACAAGTTTTTCAATAATTCGTTCCTTGAAAATCGATGGTTTGCATCGAACCGAGTCCCACTTTTATTTTCGTAAGAAGGCACTCTTCTTTTCTTCTTCTTGCGAGTGAGTAATTAAAAGCAAATTAAACTGTGCATTGAGGTAAAATTAAATACTGCACTGTAACTCACCGGTATTGTGTCAAAGGAACCACCTGCTGGAAAATTTGTAGCTTCATCGCTCGTTTTGAGGATAATGACCTCATAAGAGGACACTGACCTTTCCCACATGATACCCGCATGGAATGCAAATTATCCTTGATGGGGAAAGCACCGAGGGAGATCAATTCCCTGCATATTGTAAATAATTTGTCACATACTGTACATTGGAAACAAAAATTTGCGACACAACAATGAACTGCAAGCAAAACATCCATGCGTGTTTGTACAGGAACATAATTTTCATTAATTTTTTTTGCAATGCTGGAGCGATTTGTATGGAGAGAAAAACGCTCGTGCAAAAAACTCACCACAACAAAAGGCGAACGCAAAGGATTATGAATCAAGGTTCATTTAGACAAGGAAACTAAAGGTACAGTATTTGGCATGCTAATTTGCAGAGAATAATGCAATTCGCACCCAAGTTACATTAATCTTCATTAATTTGACTAATTTACTACAAATTCATTTTTCCTGAGCTCACTAGAACATTTCTTACAGAGAGAAAGATCATAAAATTTTTCTTCTAAAATTGAGGGCATAGTTCGGGTAAATATCAAACATTTTGTCGAACGGTCAAAAAGTGACTTGAAAATAATTTAAAAAAAAAAGAAAGAAACCTCACGATAGTGTCTTCGGTTTATTCCGATAAAGTCTCTATTCTTTACGCAACAAATCAAAAGGAAACATCACTCAAAAATGTGTCACCCACAATCCTAAAAAAAAAATTCAAAATCCGAATCGAGAACATAATTTTCTCTCTCTCGCTCTCTTGCTCCACAGGTTACGACCGACGAACCGAAAAAAAGTGGAAAAAACCTTTTCCACATCACAGCCAAATCAACAAGTTAATTAATCGAATCTTCGGGGAGCAATTCGTACCATTCCCCCAGATACCCGAACATCCACTCGTATGACCATCCCCTCAATTAAAAAAAAAAATTGAACACTTTCCACGTTCCCAAAAACTTGCATAGCTTTCAAACAGAAAAAAAGGAGCTCGGACCATAAAAGAAAGAAAGCTTAGATGAAATTTCAATCATCCACGAGAGCTGGTAAAATATTCGCAGCGACGAAACATTTCTTTCCAGCGATACTGTAAAAAACTTTCGGAACCCCGTAACGATTTTGTGCCTTTTGAAAAAAAGATAAAAGAAAAAAACCAACATCAAATGACACAAGACCAACCTACAGTAGAGCAAATGAAAGGTCCGAAGAGACATGAAACCCATCCTTCGAAAGCGTGTTATGTTTGTTAACAACCTTAGCTATGACACGGGGTAACACGTACACCAGGTTCGGAATAGATCTGCGTCACCAATTGAAATACCGTACACGATAAGCAACATCTTTACGTTAAGAGACGGCGATAGTGTATGCTTGAAAAAAAAAACTTTCAGTATTCACACCAGAATTAATGTTCTCAAATATTGTTCAAGCCGGTAAAAAAGAAAATTTTCCGCAATCCAAACCTCAATTTGTAACGTTATCCTCAACTATTTGGCTCTCGCGACCAGGCATATAGCGAAATACAGTACGTTACATCCAAGTAAAATTCCCGCATACATCGCTTCTATTCTCAAGCTTTCGTAAAAATGAACTCTCTCGAAATCAATATCACAAGTTCCATTCGCGAACACCTCGGTGCAGGAAACTTAGTTCATTCCTACGCGTTAACAGGAAATTGAATAAATTGGCGAACAAAATACAACGAAGAAGCGCGATTAACGCCACCGGTATAGCCAACACTGTCCAGATCGAAGGAATCCTATTACCCTAGCTCCGAGACTCCCATGGATAACCTCCGTAACATGCATGCCATTCCATACTGCACGGCTTCTCCTGTGACATGAAGTAGTACTTGGTTGTGCCAGGTTCCAGACCTTGTTCGGCAAGCAGCGCCAAGATGTTCACCGAGAAGGACTTCACCATCGGATGTTCTTCAGTTTCCGGCGCCAAGGCTAGAGTTCGAACGGCGTTGTCACCTCGCTCACGAACCATCATAGGACAGTATTTTGTGGCTGCATCCCAGACAACAAAAAATTAATTTAGGTCATTCAAATTCAACCGAAATCACTCATTACTTTGAATACTGTACTGCACAAGTATATTCTGTCAAATTTTACCGTCTTACTTTCGTAAAGCCTGTCACGAGGAAGATGGAAGAAAAATTGTCAAAACTTATCTATAGTTGTGCCTAAAAAATTATTCCAACAACAAAAACGGATTTGAATTTGTTTTCAACAACCGAGTCTGAATTAATTACAGTATAAGAAGAGGTCTTATTTTCAGAGAAAAACAAACAACGACGAACAATATAACCTTTATTTCAAAAGGTCATCAAATAAATTATCCGACGGCCTAACTGAAAAAAATGTCCACGACTACGAGGTATTTTCGGATTACAGTTCATCATTCAGAACAAAACCGACAGCAGTACTGCATTGAGAAATACTGAAATACTTGACTGATTGAATGGAAAACACCCGAAGTACTGTATTGCGTCTTCAACGCTGAACAACGAGGTGTTGAAAAACACCTTGAATTCTACAACATAGGCACCAGTGCTTTTCTCAATACATCGATGACCACAAAATGGAAAATGATCAAGTCACCACCTGTACCGTCGACCTTTTGAAAATATTAGGCTTTTCAATGGAAAATCTACCAATTACTACAGGCCACCATTACCTATGCGGTCAACAAACATAAAATCATAAATAAAATAGCGAATTTAATATTACAGTACAGCAACACACTCACGATTCCATTTGCAAACGTGCAACATGGCCCACAAGGCCCAAAGTTGAACAGCATGAGGTGACGTGGTTCGCAATAGCGGGAAAAACGGCTGAAAAGTTCGATATGCCACCATTTCTGCATCCGGCATTGCCCATTCACCGACAATTTCCTGCAATTCCATAAACAAAAATGAATACTGTACACCGTTCGTGCAAAATCACATCGATTACCGCCACGTTGAAAATTGTAGAACCTCTGCGAGTCAAATTTCAAGGGGCCAGCAAAAAAAAAAGTTAGGGAAAAATAAATGTTCCCAAAGAACTACTGTACAAGAAAAATAAAATACGCGATTTTTCGGCCTTGAACTGCAGAATAAATGGGTGGACAAAATGCTGAACTTGGAGGCAAAGGTTCACTAGTCCAGATAGTCTTTCACTTCCTTTAAAAACACATCAAGTAGAATTTTAATTTCTTTTATTTTTCTTGCGTCAATAAAATAATAGCCAAAAATCATCCAGAAAATTTGAGTTATAGAGGTTTGAGAAGAAAATCTTTTGAGTTAGGGAGGCTTTTACTGCATTGTTCCGATAGGGGTATTCCAGCGGAATTCAGATAGGGACTTGAAATAAATTCGAAAAAGATAGCCTCGAGTAATCAAGGTACAACAAAAGTCAAAGAAGTACCAGCCAAACATATTTACTTTCTCGCAAATACGCGATTAGAACAAGACAAGTGCCATAATTTCACATGAAATTTACAACGAGCGCAAAGGTGAAAAACTAAGTCTGCTTGCGGTGAAGATACATACCTCGAATATTTCATCTAAGCCACTCACCAAATCTTTAAGGACGTCCGTATGCGCAACGCCATCAACCGACCAAGGCTCTTCTCCGTCCGTCGTCATATGCGCTAAAACGCCGGCTGCAAAATAACTCACTTCTATGAGATCCGTCTTCATCAATTCCCTGAAAAAAGCAGAGGGTGAACTTCAACTTAAATTCAACTTAAATTAACGTTTCGTCAACGAAAAACGAAACGTTCCAAATTCAAACCTCAGTCGATCAATGAGACTCTTGTCCATGAGGTTGCGCCGTAACGGACTGACCTCGGCGATGTTATTCACGAGGCCGAGGATTTTCGTCTTTACTGTACTATCGCAATCCGGTTTGTTCAAGATTTTTATGAACAGGAGAAGGCCACCAGCTTTGATGAATGATTCACAAGTGCTGGGAGATTCATCTGTTGAGAAGCGAATAAAAATAGCTCAAATGAAGCATTCCGTCAACATAACGTCAATTTACATCACCTCACATCAAGAAACAATATAATTCCTCAAAATATAAATATTGAAAATCTTTTCAAGAGTTATATCATGAGAATATATATTAGACCTGAGACTCAACATGCCCTTTCTAAATGGACTAAAATCATAAGAGAAATTTCAACGTACTATCTCCTATTAAATAAAAAAAATTGAACGATTTCCGAGATTTTCTTCCACTGCAACACAAGATAGAAGTCGCACGAATCCCAAACCTCACAAAAAAGTTACGCAAACACCGACAGAAAGATAACATGAAGCGCTTGAATTGAAACCAACCGATTCAGGCGACACCTATGTGAAAAGAAAACAGAATCGAAACAGAAACAGAGTTGAGGACGTCAGATCGTAACAATTCGAAAATTCAGCAGAATTTATGCGCTACGACAAACAAATACTTGCCTACTCCGGCAAACCTAAAATATTGAGACAGGAAAAAGAATAACGAGTAGGAAACACACCTGTCAGGTTCCATAAGGCACTCTCTCATTTAAAGTCGTAGTACAGTTGGCCTCTGCATAAGTACCAAAGGAGGTGCTAAGCGTTGTCCGCAACGTATATGGCAACTAACCGAGGGTCGTTGCTGCAAAGAAGGCATCATTACGCTCGCCCGAGAATTGAGCAAATGGCAACAGCCATACGATTCATGGTACTCAGAACCTTTCGCGTATTTGACAAGTTGTGGTTGACTCGCGTGAACTTCGCCAGTTTCCAATGAAGAACATTATGAGCTAGTGACGTGTCGCAGTCGTTTGTTAAAAAGACGTTGACATTTTCTCAAAAAAAGAAGAGATGAATTTACTGTCCATAGTACGGTACAATAATCCTAAACGTGGTTTGAAAGTACAGCACATCCAGGAAACTATTAGTAATGTAAAGCTCAATTCGAATACAAGAGACAGTGTACAGTAATTCCATTTCTTTAAGATTCCCAAAAATGGGAGACATTAAACTGAACCAGCAGTTCAGCACAAAAATGTTTTCATTCATACGACTGAGTTCTTCTGGCATCAACAATGTACTGTACTGTACATCGATGCCTGCGTTAGAAAAAAAAAAACTGCGGAAAAATTACACACATTACTAAAAACATTAACTAATTATAAATATTAGTGTACATCCTCAATTTTTAGATCTACCTGATACTCGAGCTTTTTTGTCTGACATGGACTCGTTAGTTTTTGATTCGGTATGCGAAGCAAATTGACACAAAATAAAAATAATGTTAAAAGAAGTTTCTGTTGGAACTCAACTTTTCCAACCTAAAAAGAGAGGTTGTTCCAATAAACATTTTGAGGCACACGCTTCATCGCAGATTGAACGAACGATTTGTTCTACCTAGAATTTTAAAAATCTCGGATTTCACGCGCTACACGTAACCGCCACGGAATACTGAATATCTTATTATACTCCAAGAAAAAAATGTAGGCACATTCCTCACCTGCAAATTATGCATAAAATTGTGCAT